CTTAGAATAACTGAGTCTTATATTTGCATTCGAGCAGTACGCATCGAATCTTATTCTTATCGTTAAGTTCATCTGATGTAATTCTCCAATAAGTTATAAATGTTATGTTAAAATGAAATAAACCGCTTTTTTCAACCAACGTGCCATAGAAACAAGAAAGGAATGCTAAAGTCGAGAAGGCACAACTCTTAAACCACCCCACAAAAAAAAATTTATTAAAAATATTTATCTAATTTAATTAATTAAATTAAATATAAAATAGTCCATACATACATTTACATCAGAATCGTGCATTACATAATTATGTCAAATCTAATTATTCTAATCAATCCATCATAATGAAACTTGGTATACGGATATATAATCACTAACTTAATGTGACTACCAAATTTTAGTTCAAAATTCCAAGAATTACGGGAGCTGTAGAAAATCTGGAGTAGGGGGGAGTTGGTTGGTGCATCAGAAAAAATGAACAAACTCGTCCTTTCTCGGGCTCAGGAGAATCTGGATACCAAGTTTGGTTATTCTAGCTCTTATACTTTCTGAGATCCTTGCGTTCATACAGACAGACAGACAGACAGACAGACAGACAGACGGACAGACAGACGGACATGGCTATATCGACTCGGTTAGTTATCCTGATCAAGAATATATATACTTTGTGGGGTCTGCCACGCTTCCTTCTATGTGTTCCATGTTCACTCGCACAAAACTAATATACCCTTTTACCCTTTGGGTACAGGGTGTAACTATATGATTTAAGAAGGGTTTATGCAGCAACAACAATTGATTTATAAATATATAGGAACCAAATTGCACACTAAGAGAAATGCAGTTGTATATGATCGTGTTTCATCACTCGTGGATGGCAAATGGTAAACATGAGATCCATGATGATCAAGGAATAAGGGTTGTGCGGTTAGGACACTTCTCAGCTCGTTAAATTCAAGGATTTTAGTGCATCAGTTTATTATAAATTACTTTTTGAGCCAACCCGGTCTTTATACTCTTTACATGAAATGTACAAAAGTTCTATATTAGGTTTGTGGGAGCTGAAAAATGTAACAGGCAGAAGGAGGCGTGGCAGACCCCACAAAGTATATATATTCCTGATCAGCGTGACAAGACGATTCGATCTAGCCCTGTCTGTCTGTTTGTCCGTCCGTATGAACACCTGGATCTCAGAGACTATAAGAGATAGAGACACCAAATTTTGCACAAAGATGCCTTATGTGTGTACGCTGTACGAGTTTGTTTTATTTTTTTGAGGTAAAATAGATCCAATTTTTTTTAAATGTTTTTTTTATTTTTTTAATTATTGTTAACATATGTACGGAGTATTTCAAAATCGGGACACCCGACTTTAGTTTTTTTACTTGTTTTATTATACTCTAGTAGATTATTGTATTCAAAGTAGGCGTTGCATTATAGAGCAAAAATCATGATTTCGGAAAGCGGAATTTCGTTTGGAGATTAGAGCTCATTCAAACAACAAAATTTCGTGCGCCACTAACATTCACAAGAAAATTCAGTTTTTTATACCCTGTACCCAAAGGGTACAAGGGTATATTAGTTTTGTACGAGTGCACATGGAACACACAGAAGAAGGCTTAGTAGACCCCACAAAGTATATATATTCTTGATCAGCATGACAAGCCGAATCGATATAGCCATGTCCGTCTGTCTGTATGAACGCAAGGATCTCCGAAAGTATAAGAGCTAGAATAACGAAACTTGGTATACAGATTCTCCTGAGCCCGAGAAAGGACGAGTTTGTTCATTTTTCCTGATCCACTCCCCCCCCCCCCACTCCCTAATTAATTAATTTAATTAATTTAATTTCTTTTTTGTGGGGTGGTACAGGGTATTTGAGAGTTGAGCCTGCTCGACTTTAGCATTCCTTTCTTGTTTTGTGTAAGACAGGTAAGAATAAATTCAATGTTGTGTATTTCCAATGCTCGTAAGATAAATTTTTGGTAGAGAACTTTGAGAAAAAAACATCATGATTGTATTAATTCTTTGTTTGGGGCGCAGTTTCAGACTGTACATTTCTAGAATATTTGAGACATTGGAAACTGCTATATGGACGATGCTGGACGGAAATCTGCTGAACGTTCTGCTCTGATCGCTTATGGTCAAAGGGGAAATTGGGTGGAAAGTGCAACTGAAACTCTGTCAATAGTGGCTCCATTCATTCATTCAAGGAGATTTTTGGGGAACTCTATTTCAGAGTGCGATTCGAGGCGCAATCTTAAACTATTATAGGTAAGTCTGTTGAATGGTATGTATGTGGACCACACCAATGTGTTTATCATCCAAATTAGTCTTAAGCTTTGGAAAAATATACGCGTATTGTTCCGGCAATTCACATTACTACTGATAATATCTGGATGAATTCGAGATCATCTAGTCCTGCGGAAACCGGTCTCGATATTCACAGCAAGCACATGCAGGAATTTTGTGTATCCTGGCAGCACAACTGACTTTGGGGCTGTCTATATCTACGACACGTATGACTTTTTCAATTTTGTGGTCCGACCATATAAGATTATGGTTCCTAATTAAGTACATAATGAATATTACAACTATCAGAAGACGTTAATATGGCTAGCATAATTAGAAATATGGATTTCCGGATATGGATTTCTGTCGCAGTGATTTGAATAGAAAAATCAACACACAAGAAAACCGGCAAAGAAGTAATGAAGATAAATCGACAAACCGAAAATTGTGTTCATCAAAATAATATGAATAAACGTAGCATGTTACTTAACAATTCTAATTCACTTGTTTTGATACCCTCTACCGAAAAGCTAAGATGGTACACTAGCTTAGTGTATGGATTTAAAGAGTGTCTAACTACATATTTACATAAGCATTAAGTTTTTCCGAGTCTATGCGTGTCTGTGTGTGAGCGAAATCAAAAAATAAAACAAACTTGCAAAGCATACACACATCTTGGTGCAAATTTTGGGGTCTCCATGAGATCTAGGTGCTCATACGACAGACAGTCAGGGCTGTCATCATGCTGATCAAGAATATATATACTTTCCTTCTGCCTGTTACATTTTTTATAAGCCGCAAACCTAATAAATTTCATTTCAAAACAAAAATTATTTGTCAATATCGTTTACAAAGACTATCGGTTACAAAATTATAAAAAAATATGCATATGTTTTTTCGAACTATTCTTGCAATCTCATTTGGTTTCTTTTAAAACATTTTGTTCGTATGAATTATGTTTGATAGTCGGTCGTATATGTTCGGCATTTTTTGAGTATTTGGATACAGTTCTTATTACTGATTTTAATAATGACTAGTTTACTTCAATTACCGCCATAATTCGGCGTTCAAGAATCACCTGAGCCGGGAGGTAAAATTCCGGTATTCACAAATGTTTCTTGAACCTATTGAGGCACTTCAGCTCATCTCACTTCAACTAATTGTAGTAAAAACAAGAGAGAACGCTACAGTCGAGCAAGCCCGACAGTGTAATACCCTGTACCCAGGTAAACTTCCGTCACTGAGTTATATGCGCCCATAGCAGCAGCAAAAAGAGGAAGAAGAAGAGCGAACTTGTTGCTGCAGTTTGTGGGGGTTGTACTGGCGAGAATTTGTTTCGCTAATAACTTTTCTTAGAATTTACCGAATTGAATAAAATTTTGAACAGCAGTAGACAATTATATATAAATTATGTGTGCAAAGTTTGGTTTATGTAGCATTTGAAATGTGGACGCTATTGACGAAATTCTGTAGCGGGGGAAGGGGGGCAAAATTAAAAAAAAAAAAATAAATTCGTCCTTACTCGGACCTAGGAGAATCTGGATGCTAACTTTGATTATTCTAGCTTTTATAGTTTCTGAGATCCTTGCGTTCATCCAGACGGACAGACGGACGGACATGTCTAGATCGATTTCTGTCCTCATGCTGATTCAGAATATATATACTTTATGGGGTCGGAGATGCTTCCTTCTGCATGTTACATACTTTGCACAAACCTAATATACCCTTTTTACCCTACGGGTACAGGGTATAAACAGGTGGAGAAACTAATGTTGGGTATCCGACTTTGAAATACTCTGTACATATGTGTAGAATAATTAAGAAAATAAAAAATTAAGGGAATTAAAACAAAACGGATAAACATTTTAGATCGACTTTATCCGCCTTGGTATTTCAATTCACGTAAAGGGTGTACAACTGCACATTTACATATATGTGAGCAAGTATGCAGTGCAGAGTTGAGCCAAAGCAGCAACAACAACAACAGCTGCAGGCAGCGCTTGGGTAGAGATCACATTTAAATCGGTCCATCATAATGAAACTTATTTGACATGTTTGAGCTAAACATTCCAAGAATTATGGAAAATTACTAATTGCGTGGGAAATGCCTAAAATTTGCTGTCTCTAGATCTTATGGTTTCCGAGATATAGGTGATTATACGATCGGCGTGCCGTTCCAGAAAATCCCCATTATCAGGGGAGTACGGCAGAAATAATACAAACTTGCACAGCGTACACAAAAAAGACATCTTTCAGCAAAATTTAAAGTCTCTGAAATCCAGGTGTGCATACGGACGGATAGACGGACAGACAGACAGACATAGATCGATTCGTCTTGTCATGCTGATCAAGAATATATATAGTATACTTTGTGGGGTCTGCCACGCCTCCTCCTGCCTGTTACATTTTCACCTCCCGCAAAACTAATATACTCTTGTATATTTCATGTACAGAGTATTACTAAAAACAGTATAAGTTAATAATTCAGTAAATAAATAATAACAATATGATGGACTTTGTATTATTACAAGTATTAGTAGTTCAATTACCCCTCCTTCGCATTTCTTCAAACACTGCGCATTGCCGTCAAGGCAGAACGCACTTTTAATTAATTAACTGAGCAACAAAGTTATTTCAATGGCGAGTCACGCGTTGCAACAGTTGTTAGTCTGTTGATACGCGAGCCTTGCCACACAACGAGTTCGCCGCTCGGAATCATGGTGCACCACAAGCTGGTAATGTGGTTGAAAATCAGCTACTTTCATTTGGCCATGTTTGCACTGCTGCCGACGACGCTGAAGTTACGTAGCCCTCTTAGCAGGCGATTTTGGAGACGCGTCAGGGCGTCCCGAATATATGTGCTCTACAGTTTCTTCTGCACCTGCCTCGTCTTTATTGAGCTGCCGTTCCTGGTGCCCCACAATATTTTCACTGGCTACATGAGTCGTAATATTGTGCTGCAGTCCGGCTTTTTCGTAAATCTATCCATACGCATGTTGGGAATCTTGGGGTGCTATGGCTTCGTGTGGCTCTTCCGTTCCAGACTGTTGCAGCTATTTGGCGAACTGGCCGCCCATTGGCGCTTCTACGGACCCTTGTTGCAGCGACTGGTTGGGGCACGGGCACTTGAACACTTGGAGCTCTCGCTGGCAGCTCTAATGCGTCGCAAGCTGGGCGTTATCTATGGCCTGCTTGCGGCCTCCGCCTATGTGCAGTATATCTTGATCCCGGCCGCAACAGGTGCGAACTTTGTAGCGATGTGTATGACCCTATCGCACATGGTTCTGCTCAATGTGGCCTCAATAGGCTTCTACACGATACTGTTGCTTCTCTATCATCAGTTCGAGAGCGTGAATCTGGCGCTATTGCGGCTCTACGAGACTCTTTGTTGCTATGAGCGCAGTGGGAAGCTCTACTATTCGATGGAGGAGCAGCGTCGATGTCTTAACCACCTCCGTCGAACTGCTGACCTGCATTCTGATTGCTACTGCCTGGCACGTCGCTTCTTTTGCATGTATGACGTGCCAAATGCCACGCTTTTTCTTAACATGTTCTCCACAACTATTTACATTCTCTACCATGCTGTTCAGTTCTCCAACTCGACGATCAACCCCAGTATTTGGGGCATGCTTGCGGGTCAAACTCTGGTCACGCTCAACTTCTGGAATAGCTGCCTTTTAATGAACATGGTGGATGGGGTGCTTTGTGCGTGCAACGACACGGGCCAGCGCCTGAGGCAGTTCACCGATCTACAATTGTTCAGTAACGAATTTGAAAAGGAGGTGTGTGTGGCAACCTTAGTGATAAATAAATTCATACTAGATTGTTTTCGATTTCAGCTGCAGCGATTCGCCAGCAATGTGCGTGATCATCGACTGGTCTACAAGATATGTCGCTGTGTTGAGCTCAACAAGCCCGCCTGCCTGAGCTTTTTGTGTACGGCTCTACTCCAAGTCATTGTTTTGATGCAGTTCGATATGGGGCAGAAACGTTTCGCGCCCCCAAGTCCGAGCTCTATTCCAATGTTGCCGGTGCCTAAGCAGATCGGGAGCTAAAGCTGTATACTCATTCAACATCAATCGATCAGCTTATTCTATGAATTATTGGGCTTTGAGAATACAATTGCCAGTGAATTTGATTTTGCGAGTAAGATTGGAATTTAAAATCCTGAATCGAATTTCATTACCTTTCTATCTCGAATTGCTTAAGACTTTATGATTGAATTGGACAATTAATAGTTTCGGGTTGACAATAATTGGATCATCACCCCAGCGATGGTACACTGGATCTTCATTAGAGGATTGTGTGCAATTCTCCTGTACTTACCTGGCGGTATATCTTTGGTGATAGGTGAACTATAATTAAATGTACAAGTCCGTGCTGCACATATAAGCATGTGCATGAACTTATGGGCACACGTACATACTCGTACATATGTGTTATTGAATATATTTGGTATACGCGTAGTTTAAAAAAATTTGTAGTAAACTTAAAAATTGTAATTTGCACTCAAAAAAGTAATTATTAATTAATTAAATTAAATAAACTAGTGGAAATTCTCTGTACAATTTAAGAACATTTAAAAAGATTACACTTATGGCTTTAACTTCCATTACATTTGACCTATCGTGATGAAATGAGGACACATTAGCACTAAAGGGGTTTAATTCTCAATTTTGAGTTAAAAATTCCAAGAGGTACAAGAGTTATGGTAAATTATTATATTGTTAAACGTTTAGCGCTTCTTGCTAGGCAGAGCAAGGTACAATTTCTATATGACAACGATTACTTGTCAGCTGCGGACGATTACGCTGGGCATAGAATTGGATCAAAATTATTGCAATAACAACGGAATAGGACGAATTTTGAAACAGATGTAGAGAATTACTCGTATTTATTACATACCATTTTTGGTCAGTGTAACCGCAGCCGTTTCTGAAATACAGGCGTTCATCCAGACGGACATGGTTATATGGATTTCTCTCGTCATGCTGATTAAGAAGATACATTTGCTCTATTCCCAATAATAGTAGTATTACAGATCGCAAATATTGAATAAACACTCGCCCTTAGAGCAAAGGATGGTCTACCACAAACAACAAGTATAACAATAACGAGCTCAAAAAGTTGCTAACATGTTTTCCACACTGTTTAACCCGCTTTACTCCTTTGCTGAACACGAAGTTTTCCACAAATCTTTCTAGGCAAGTAAGCAAACGACACTATGGCCTCCTTTGTTTGCAAGGAAATTGAATCAAAATTAATAAACACAATGCCGCATTCATTGAAAGCCAGACCAAACAGCTGCCAGTCAATGCCTAGCTTAGCCATTAAATATGCCATTCAACCGACATCAAATGTACAAACTATCTGTCTGCTACAGCCAAACCCACCAAACCATTCAAATCGACCAAGCTGGCAGCCTAAAGCCTTCAAATCACCACCCGATTGCCAATATTTCCCAGCTGCTTTTTGTATTAATTCCAATTATACGCACGACTGGGGAATTTTCATTTGGGCTGAAAGGATTTGCCATCATTATAGACCGTGCCGTGCCGTGCGTCGCTCACATAATCAAAATACGTCTGCCTTTTCGCAATGGACATGAACACATTAGTCCCGTTCATGCTGTTGCTCTAGATCCCGGGCTATAATTGGACTAAGCATGTGTATCGATTGCAAAGTTTTGTCCGTGATCTGATGGCCGAGGGCTAGGGGTAGGCGTAGGGGAATCGCTTGGCAAATATGTATGGAACAAATGCGATTTCTTTGAAACTAATTAGCAACTATAATAGTTTATTTTCCATGGCTGACCCCGGCCTGCAGCACAGCTAATTAACCCTTTGGAGCTAGCCATAAACTAAATTAAAATTATGAAACTGCCAAAATTTATGTGCGTTGCAAAATGTGTCGTCGTCAGCAGCTTTGTGCATTGCACGTCGCCTGGTCAGGGGACAGCGGCTCACGCACGCAATATTGCACGCATGCTGGCATGTGGCGGCTTTCGACACAACTATACCGACTGCATGCAGGCAATGCAGGCCTGGCCAATGCATGCAGCTTAAAATGCAATTAATTTGTTACAAAGTTATGGCAATAGTTTTAGTTTTAGTTTTGGATACGGCCGCAAACAGTTTACAAAAATGCTCGAAATCCATTGCCCATCCCAACATAACTTTCTTTGCGGCTGCTGCACAGTTATCAGCACGATGCACACATACAGCCGCACGCACACACGCACACACGCACGCTCGCTCACACTCACACACATCAACACAATCTGGGTCAAGTAATTTTCAACACTTAAATAAACTTCTGCATACTGGGAAGCGGCTTGCGGCTTCGTCGGCTTCGTGGGCTTCGTGGGCTCCGTCGCTGCCAAATGCTCGGCCATTTTCTTTAGCACTCCTTTTTCTGGGTCATTTTCGAGGCTAGGAGCGTCACAACGCACAACGGAGTTGCCGCCTGTGCGCATAAATATAAATTGTATTGTTTCAAAAAGTTTTTCTACTGGGCTGACTGCCGAGTTTTGAGGGCAGCGGAAAAAGTAGTTAAAGTTTTGTTTTCGCCGGTAGTTTATTGCGTGATTTCCTCCGCTGCGGCAGCGAAGTTGATGATGTGGGTGACAAAGAGGGTGAGAGGGTGGTGGGTGAGAAGGTGGAGGGTGAGGGTGTAGTCTAGTGTGGACAGCGCTGTAAAATGTTGTTAAAATTTTCCACTGTGAGTGGCAAATGCTAACAGCCTGGGTTGTTCGCCATGCCTCACGTAGAGAGACAAAATTATCTAAACTGCGAGGGGAGTGTACGAACGAGTATGTGAAGCTAAAACTATTTTGCAATACAACTTGCTTGCTGGTTTTTGTGGTTTTCAAAAAGTTATAGCATGCTTCTAGGCGTCGCTAGTGAGTAAATTGTCCAAATTGTATTAGCAAATACGGTAAAACAATTTTGTTCAGACGACTACATACAAGTACAAGCGTATGTTCAACGCCTTAAGTTCACTATTGAGTCATGTATCCTTGCGGTTTTTGTCAAAGTTATAGTCAAAGCCACAAAAATAAATGCTGAGGCAGCATAAATAGCTACTACTAAAATAGTATTTCGTGACCGTGTATCTAATCTGATTGTGGCTCTATCAGCAAATGATTGTTTTTGTTTTTTTTTGTGGACCTAAACTAATATTGCCTTTACTTAGTACTTAAATACTTGCCTGCCTACAAATGAAAAGGAATAAAGGCATATTTTTAAGGGACAGCATAAATAAAACGAGCTCAAAAGCTAGTTCCGAAGCGCGGAAGTTTACACTTTTAAATATCATATAGTCAAATGTTTTTATAGCGGCTATATGATATCAATATTAAAAAGGTAAGAACCATAGTGTCTAAATAATTAAGTTGGTTTAATTATATCACTATGGAGGCCAGAAGGCAGAAAGGAAGAAATTTCTTAGACATACAAAACTCGTTCACCATTTAAAGAATCATGCTATTATAAATAAATTGGATAGACTATAATGTTTTTGCTTTATACCGATTTATGAATATGCTATATGATATGGCTTCATGATATGGTGATCTAGATGTGGTGATTTAGATGAAACATAATGAGGGACTATTAATATTCATATATTGTAAATACCAAGTTCTTTTATTTGGGATATAATAAAATAGTTCCCAACCGATCAGCCCATTGGTAGGTGTATAAAATAAACAGGCTATTTAAAATTTTCAATAAGTGTCTGTGTACATATTATGCTATTATGATTCAAATATGCAATTTAATTCAATTTGGGTACAGAGTATATAAATTGGGCATATATACAAACGTATATTAGAATATGTGATATAAGTATTGATATAATATGTATATAATATGTAATATCTATAACATAAAAGTTGAAATGCAGATATCACCAATGCATTATCAACACGGAGCAGAAGTTGGGCCGCAAGGCTTCCAATCACTCCGCATCCATGACTTTTTCCTGCCATTTATAATTGCATTTATAGTTACTTGGGCAAGATTGTCACGCCCGCGTGCGCCTCTAAAGTTTAATTAAACGTGCATGATTTATGACTTGTTGGTCACCCGCTGCCAACGGCTGCCAGATGCCAGCTACCATCTATCCAAATAGCAACCTGCAACGTGCAGACTTCTGACTGCAGACTGCAGTTTGCAACCGCAATTCCGATTCTAATGCTTTTATTTGGTCCCAACACGTTGTTGCCATGCTGCGTTCGTCGACGTTTTAGCTAGGTTTCTATTCTTGCCATAAAACCGAGGCACCTTTATGGGCGATGCAGCTACATATGTACACATATGTTTGTACACACGTAGGGTCTGTCCCACCTCCTATGTTTGCACTTCAACACACAACTTTTGAAGCAATATGCAGTTTTACACGCCTTGCTTTACTTGGCGCTGCGCTCAGTGGGGGAAAATTTCATTCTGGGCTTATTGTTTTAAATGCCGTTAAAGCTACATTTGCGCCCGGGCGAGTTCATCGAAGTTACATTTATCTCCGGCAGAGCATTCCATCCAAATCAAAACCACAGTCAATCCATGCGCAAATCCCAGAGCTTACGCCTAAATCAAACCAACCTACAAAACAAGCGAATGAGCAATCGCAATCTCATGCTCGACGCCGAAATCCATGGCGGCCGTGTCTAAAATATTCTATGATAATCAACTTTGATACATTTTCCGATGGGCCCGAGCCCACGCTTAAACGTCGCACTGCCTCGGAACGAAAATGCCGAAAATGATTGAGCAAAGCACAAACAAAAACCAAATCCGCAAAACAAGCGAAGCGAGCGAGCGAGTGGGCCAAGAAATATTCGCGTTACATAATACGGCACGTGTTGTGGGCCCTTTTTCATATTTTTATGCGAATAATGAAAATGGAAAAAGTTTGTGTTAAGCAACTCGCTCGCCCCTTTGATGAACTGCCGGATAATCGTGTCCTACTCCATGGGAGGTGGCTTAGTTGGATTTGGTCTAAGTGAGGCAGGGGAGGTTGGTGCAGGTGGCATCCAAGCTAGATGAGAAAAAAGCGACGAATAGGAGGAGGAGCAGTTGTTTAGTGCGAGTCCATCGTGCAATAAGACATTATTTCTTACGAGTTTAGATTGGAATGCGAAGTTAGGAAAAGTAACCCACATAACCGCTATTTTGCATTTTCTCTCAGATAACCATCATCGTAATGATTTTCATTTTGTGGTAGAAGCTGTGCATTTGTGAAATAAGTGGACGGAAGGGTCCTTAATCCGTTTTTGCTGCCTTAAATTATGTCTGCCCCTCTACCCTGTGCTATGCATAGGTATGTTGATGTACTCGTTTGAGTTCGAAGTAGTGGAGTTGAATTACTTCGCTACATCCTCTCCTTAATAGTAACTAATTGGGATCAAATTTTAAACAGATAGCTGGTACTATTTACCTTAGGAAGTTTGTTGTCTATATAGACGGAGAGAAAAAGGAAGCGAAATATGCATTTCTTTCATGCTGATGAAGCAAATAAATACTTTTTGTAATCGGAGATAGCTCCTTGCTTATTCTCCTAAGTCGTTAAGAACGAAAGTTAATACTTACACGTACTCTCTCACACCGTCCACATCCTGTACCCAAAGGCTATAAAAATGTACATATGTAGAAGGAGGCGTGGCAGACCCCAAAAAATATATATATTCTTCATCAGGGTTTTATTTTTATATTTTTTTGTATCCCCAGTTTTTTTATTTCATAAAAGCGTTCAAAGACACTGGAAAAGGACACCGAAAGATGCCGAGGACGTTTAACTGATAAAAGATAGACGTTTTTTAGAAGCATTGCATTTTCGTCATCTCACCAGGCTTACCTGGTGTGAAGGCCAAACGACATCTTTAAGTCAATCGCACATTTTGATAGCAATTGGGATGCCTTTGGATTGAAATTTTTCTAGTACCACGCTGTAGACATAGGAATAGCCTTAGCATATCTAAGCTTGTTCACTAAACTTGTTCTAATCGGATTAGCAAAGCTTCTCTCTATCTAATGCAACAGCTTTTAGACTTGCAATAATGCGATCACATCCAAACTGGGATGGTGCCCATATTCGGTAGCTTTACCACCAGGTCCAAGACAAGAGGAAGTACTTATCTCGTTCAGGTAAAAATACTTGCAGCCTCTTACGTTCATTTCAAGGTTGAGCATCAAACTCGTCGTATTCCTCCGGACTATCATGCAGAAGGAAGTTGGCGTTCCGTGCACGATAATGCGCCATCACATCGATCGATATTGGCATGCCATTTGTTACAATATTCGTCTTCTCGGAAAAATGCATTTGCGACGAAGGAAAAACATTATGTAGAAGCTATCTTAAAGACATGTATGAACATCCTGAATTTTTTATATTTTACAAAATCGCACTGAAATAAAAACGCACTCAAATTTGCATTTCACCGGAAATATGTGTCTTTAATTTAGATATCGCAACCCCAATTCCGAACTGTAAGACCACACTTTCGTAAAGTTGATAGTGTTTTTAGTTTCGCAGTAGATTTTGTACCATTTGTCAAAAAAAGCGGGTCTGCCAATGGTTTTAATGATCAGTTTGGATTTTGTGACTTTTCTAAAATTATTTCTCTCAATTTTACCTCAATTTGGTTCGAATTTCCGGAAGTCATTAGTAAAATAACATTTTAACAACACTATATAAAGGACAAAAGAAAAACCGCAATGCATTTTTCTAACTCATATCCTAATATATTATTACTGGGAACATTGTTTGACAGCCGGCCTTAAAGGTTGTGATAACTTAAAAGCTATTAAAAGTTCAAATCGTTCCGAAAATATGAATGCAAATATATGAGTTGTTGCACATTGCAGAATATCGTAGTCATAATCCCTTTTCAAACTGGTCCGTACACAAATAAATGCATAATACCATAATTTTTTTTTTGTAAAATAAATTTACCATTTAACATGAGCAATTAATGTGGCAAAGCCGCAAATAAAACCGCTTAATTACGTGACTCGCAGCAGCAACAAAAACGCAGATGAAAGTTTGCATGACATGCAATGAAATGAAATAATAATATGGTTAATAAAACCGAGGCCGCCATGCCATTGCTGGCATCGGTGGCATCAGATTCATGTACACTGCGGCTGGGACGTGGACGCGACCTCGGGCCAATTATCGCACTTGCCTCGTCGCTAATTAAAATGCAATTATTTGCTTTAAACAACTACAACAACGTAATCCCAATGACAGGCATTTTATTTGCAATATACACGTACGAGTATTGATGGAAGAGTAACAGAGTTCCGTAAACCTAAGCCTCCACAATGGACTGCTGTTGCTCTTCCTCGTCATCGTCCTCGGCGGTGATGTGGACCCGGGGCGCCACAAAGCTGGGACGCGCCTGTGCAAGCGGGCGCACAGCACGCGGACTTTGTGGTAAAGGGGGAGCCGTATATTGATTTCCATTGGCGGCTGCAATGCGTCCGGCCTCCTCCACAAAATCGCCTATGATCTGCCAGAGCGGCACGCGTTCACTAATGCCGCGGGCGTTAGCCTGCATCAAGGCAGCGGTGGTAATTAGCGTAAAGTTAAGAATGCCTGCATTGAAAATGTGGAGCCATCCAAGGACCTGTAGCTGGCTCTCTGCGGCCTGATTGAAGACCTGCATTGGAAATGACAAGGGCTGAGGCAACGCATGCGCAGCCGAGGACATCAGCATGGTCACAGATGGGCGCATGTTTCCGTTAAAGTCACGCTTCTGTGGCAGCTTTAGGGACTGCAAGGCTAACGGGGTGCTGGAGCTGGCCTGCAATGCCGAAGCACTTTGCTTGGGCCCTGCTTGAATAAGATGTCATATTTCACAATTGGAATGCAATGTTTTCCATCCCCCGCCCCTTCACCTACCTTGCTGATCGGCGGCTTCGCGAGCCAGACGCTGCTCTGCGCGCTTGACCCAGCCACGAACTGTGGACTCGGGTACGCCCAGCTCCCGGGAAATGCCGGCCTTAGTCTCGCCGTTACGTATGCGGGCAATGGCTCGTTCCTTGTCGTCCAAGGAAACCTGAACGCGAGGACGCTTTCCACGAGGCACTGCCGTCTTCTCCATAGTCTTGAGAATGATGAGCGCTTTGAGAATTAAGCTGGAGCAAAGAATTGATTGCTGTTTTGAAAATCGCTGAAATGTTTCGAAAATTTGACTCGCGTTGCTTTGTGTCTGCTTTGCTTTATACACAGAATCGGGTTTATTTCTGACAGTCCGTTTTGGGGCAACGTCGTTACGAGTGAGCGCTTGGCCAGCTGACATATAAATCGACGTTTTCTTCACGCTTTCCCTCTATTAGCCTGCTCTTCTTCTTGCCATATTGCATACACTCGTACACCTCCTGGATAATAGCGCTGCCAACTTTGCGCGAATAATGACGGACTTTTCTGCATTCTTATTTGGTTTATCATATTTTTTATTTGAATTCTTTCATTTCTCTTTATTTTACATTTAATTTTGACGTACACTAAAATATGTGTCCTAATTATTCATTTAAATTTTCCTTGTGGGGTATTTTCTTTTTCTTTGGCATGGAAGCGGCATTAGGCTCCTACGAGGGACTGTACCGGGGTACAGTTTGTTAGGACGTCCCAATAAGTAATTAAATTAAAAGCTAAATAAATAAGTGGAAGACTTCAAATTCAAGATGAATTAAAGAGAGATTTTACAATTTTCGATTATGGTTCCGAGTGATTCGTGTATCGTTAAAGCGTTATCGTTATTTCCCTGGAAAGCTTAAAAGACTTTAAAATACGTAAGTATAACATTCCACAAAATGATAATGATACGGATTTTTTTTAAAATAAATGTAGCGGTTTCAATTCGAACGATTGGCACTGAAGGAGTACTATCTCAATAGCAATTCTAAGCTGCCGCTATGGTATAAACTGATTTACCAACTAAGAACTTGCCGCCTGGCCCAAAAAAGCTAAAAGTAGACACTGTTAGTTTAATTACAAGTAAGTTAGTTCGATACTAGCCGTTCAACTGGGCTCCTTATCCAATCCCTTGCTCGCTCCCATGCCAGTTCTGCACATCTTACAGTTTACAACTAAACGACTTATGTGCTATATTTCCATTAACCTTTACAATTTCATTTGGGTTTTTGCATCGAGTATCGTATTTGAATTTTCATGCCAACGATTTGTTTGTTTTCGTTCCTGCCAACATTTTACATATGTACTTTCTAGTTTTTTTGGAATTTTATTTCTCATATTGTTTATGTACTAGATAAAACTATGTGCAAAAAATATATAATATATATATGTATGTATTACATTGTATATCGTACATTATATACATATACATTTTTATTTATGTATGTACTTGTATATATGTTTGGATTTGTTTGACAATCTGCCAATAATAATAATCGTAACTAATAATACCAGCAACAATTGTACGAGTATTTGTGTATACGTATTCATTTTTTCTTTGTGTCACTTGAGTTTTAATTTCAATTGTATTTTGTTCATTTATGCGTACGTATGTCTACCTTAATTAATATCTAGTGTCCTTTTATCAACGTTTTGCGTTTTTTTTTTTTTTTGTTTGTTTTTTACTTCTTTTAACAATTATCACGTGACAATTTTACGTTTTAATTAAATATTCAGGGCAGTATTTGTTGGTGTGTGTGTTTTTTAAACATTTATATGGTTTCCTTATATTATAGTACAGTTATTATTTTTAAATTAGTCAAATATTCATATCAGTATGTACTTGTATGTATACATGTACACGTATATAGTATGTACGAGTATGTCACGTAGGGTTTTGAGCATATAATCGGAGCTTGGAAAACTACTTACATATAAAGTGTGTGACCACATATTTTTTTTAGAGTTAGTCAAAAGAATATAACATTTCTTCTCTAGTCGCCCTTGACATAGGAGTCTGAGATTATTTCCAGAAAGCTGGTAGCAATATCTCAAGTAAAAATTGCGAAAGGACTCAACATGTCTCTAGTAGTCCTCTTGCAAGTGATGTCGCTGATGCTTCGGCGTCCCACGGCACATCCGCTTCAATATGGCAAAGAGCAGGGCGAACATGAGGCACAGACCCAGCGCCATGAGCGCCAACTTGCCATAAGGCAGTTCGGTGAGATCGCGACGCAGGCAAATCTCCGGCGACTCGTCATGCAGTACCAACTGACGATACTGCGAGGCCTGATGCAGCAGGCCGAGCTGTTCCAGATTCCACTCAATGTGCCGCGTTAGTTGGGCTAGCGTCGACGAGTGCGTCACATTTGGACAATTCGCGATGCCGTTGCACAGCAGATGGCGCGGGATGCAGACGTTTGTGGCGCCCGGACACCTAAAGTCGCAGCCATCCTGCAACAGCGACGCGGCCAGACTACCATCGGGATTGCGTGGCAAGTGGAACAACTCGGTCCACACCAATCGAAAGAGGTTCTTGCCCGGCTGCCCATCTCCTGTGTACTGTATCAGTACTGGCAGCGGATCCTGATCGGCGCCTGTAGCTCCCAGTTCGGCAGTGGTTAGTATGGGAAGATCGCGCGCCAACGAAATGTTCTCCGGACAAACGACAAAACGAGGCTCCAGGCGTCCGGCCAAATAAACTTCGATCTTGGCGCTCTCACAAGTGCGATCCCCAAAGCGGGCCTTTTCCAGATTCAGCCAAAGATCACGCTGAGCCGCCACCTTCAGCTCCCAGATGCACTTCTCGCGTCGATAATAATGCTCTGGTGGCGCCATCGGACCCGCTACCATAGCAAGCGCCTTCTTATAGGGAAAGATCAGCTCACCGTCTGGCGAGGGGCCTAGTGTGATTGGTCCGCAGAGTGGTCCGTGTGCGAACTCATAAGTTGCCTCGAACAGGGGGTTGGGGTTCTTGAAGTAGGAGGTAATGGCATGCTGACCCTGTACAATCATCTCCAGATTCATTTGATCCGCTGACGAAATTACGCGCACGGCTCTTGGAATGTTGTCGCAAAAGCATGCCAAGTTGTTTTGGAACTTATCCCGCTCCTCCCAAATGACCAGCTTGTCCACACGCTCCTCATGGCAGCGCGTGCAGGCGTTGCTGTTATATGGCAGCTCCTTGAAGGACACGGAATTCACCTCGATAATAGCACGGGCGTACAGACGTCTATCGGTTACGAACTTATATTGACAACGCACATCGCTGCCACCCGTCCGTTTGAAGATAAGCGAGTTGAGAGGGGAGCGAAGACGACCACCAGTATGCTTCCAGGCGTACATCACCTCGTCGCAGAGGGTATTTGGGACTGGATCGCCAAAGCGAGTGTTGTTAAAGAAATCGTAGTGGGCCCAATAGTAGAGCGAGCTGCCACTGTAGCTTCCAGTCTTCGAGTCGAACTGTACGTATAAGGAGGGGCTGGTGCTCACAAAGTCCACCTTCTCCATGGGACGAGAGAAGGTATCGCAGAAGGTCTTGATTATGCGCGCTGGGTCGGGATGATCCGAGTCGTATATGGTCAGCGATTCTCCGCAGTCGCCTTCGTACTTCAGAATGGGTGACTCGATGCGATTGATGCGGAAGCTGTCAAAAAAAAAAAAAAAAAAAAAAAAATGGAAGAAAGGAATGTAGAAAGGTCTCGTTAGTTCGTTCATAGTCGAAGCCTAATGAAATTCCAGTGAAAATGTTTTTGGCTTTTTGCCAGCCTGTAGGTTTTGGCAGCCACAGGCGGCGCCTTGAACTTTACGGCCAACTGGAACCTCTCCCCTGGCGTCGAGTGCAATTTAATAAAAACGGTGAGGCTGCCACATTGAAAATGCACAAGCCAGCCAACAGCAAACAGGTAAATCTCACTTTTCACTCGCACACGTAGCCTCGTTACAATTTCGGCGCGATGTGAGGTGCATTTTTTGGTTGCCCAACGCCATCCACGCGCTGCCTTATAGGCCATCGTGGGGACTACATGGCTAAAAATTTGTGGCAAATTACATGGTAAAATTATTTTTGGCAGACTCGTTGAAAATCACAAATTACACAAGTCGCTCGTTTGTTACACTCGTATTGGATCCCTCCATCGCGGTGTTGCTTATGTCGTGCAAATATTTACGGGATATTGCTTTGAAGTTGACCCTTAGGAAGTGATGAATTTATTGAACATTTTTCGATGGGTTAAAGACCTGACTGCTGTTGGTATTCAAGTTCCCGCTAACATACCCATACTTTTAACGTACTTTAATGTTTATGATGGTTAAATTCCTTTGATTTCGTTTTTGTTGGAAAACTGAGACCAAACCCCACAGGCGAACCCTAAAAGTATGCTGCAATTTATATCCAATTTCATGACTTTCTTTGGTGTAATTAACCGGTAAAGGAATACTGGAATTTGGAAACACTGGGAACACTGACATTGTAAACGAAACACAATCCGAAGATGTGGCGACAGTCTGTGTGTCCGTCTATCTGTTTAAACTATACACATGACCAAATTTGATAACCAGCTTCGATAAGGGACAAGTTTAACTTTTTTTCTGATGTTTTGCAACTGTAGTGATTTTTCAACTCATGGAATTTGATAGGAAAATTTTAAATTACATTCATTTGCGCTTATGTTAGGTTATGCTGTTGCTGCTGCTTCGGAAAAACTTCTTACTGTGCGTTATTAAAGAAGTAAATATTATGTTATATATTATATTTGGTTAATTTTTAAAATACGAAATTTGCACTAAAAACCGCAAAGACAAAAACTGAAAATATATTAAAGTTCTAATTACGCCTGAAATTAGGAGTATCGTAGAGTTTTAAATTTTTAAGCCTTCTTAGAAGGTAAGAGATTAAATTTGTTCCTTGACTTAATACCCGATTACCGTAAAGCAAGCATGCTAAAACATTTTGAATACAAAAATATAAGTCCATGCCTATTGTATAGTAATTCTTAGCAAAGATAATAAAGACATATGAAATAGCAAAAAGTTGGTGGAAAATTTTGAAAATATTATTAGTATATTAGTTTAACAAAAACTGATCTGTCTCTACAATAATGCTAAAATTATATTTAATCAAATGTAAATGAAAAACTATGCAAAGATATTATCTTAACTTCAAAATGATCTTTTTTTTGCAACTGTTTTCACAACTGTGGTGCAGTTGTTATGTGCTCGCCCTTATATGTATGTATTAATGGGCAGCACGTATCCTCTATTGCAAAACTTTTGCAATTATACTTCAGCTGCGGCGTCAGCGTCAGACGCCAAAACTAACGTGGCCCACAAAATTATTTACGGTACAGTCGCAGCCCTAAGCATTTCATAAAATTACATTTGTGCTGTCGCTGCCCCCAAAAATATGACATAATACAGCATTTTATTAACCCAAACTAACTTTTGCAACAAAAATAAAAACAACAAGGAAAACAAATCGGCGCTACCAACGCGATGGCGATGGCGATGGCAGCACAATTTCATTTCATTTTTTATTCGCGTTCCACTCAGCTACAACTTTTTTCTGTTCGCCTTCTGCGACTGTTCCATACACCCATATACCCGTGTGTGTGTGTATATGTGTACCTACTATTCCATGTGTGTGTGTGTGTGTATGTAGAACAGCGCAGTTGATTCTACGTGCCCATACTGTTATTCACGTATTCGCAGAGGAAAAGTAAGCCTGACGCCTAGCGGCATGTCCTCATAATCCGTTTGTAGCCTAGTTATGTGCTGACTCAGTGGGAGTGTATTAAGAGAGAAACGAATGGCAGGGAAAGGAAAGTGAAGGGAAGCGAAGCGAATCGAAGGGAAAAGGGGGCATCCAAAAATACAAGTATGCAATGGCTGTCGCAGTTGTCTGCCAGTTACTGTCGATTGGCGACGTCAGCCTTCCAGATCCTGCCCGTCAGTTTATTTGCCTCATAAATGGCTGATGTGCAGCTAGAAGGCATCTTGTGCATAGTAAATTGTGGGGTATAGTTTATTATATATACGAGTAGTGCACGCCACATACACACACAGACACACATATACATATATAGTTGGTTGTATTTGAAAAGGTATGCGGCGCTTTAAATTATCTTGGACTTAGTGCTGGCCTAGCACTTTAAGCTGCGCCTCGGGCCAAACAACATCTGGTCAGCTTGTACGCTTGGCAGAGAAGAAAAAATTTAAGAAAATGTTGCCACTAAAAGCCCAGCCGTAAAAAGTATTGTGGAGCAAAAAGCGGGAAACATGACATGTTACTTAAATGAGCAACTTTGTTGGAAACAATGTCGACAGCGTCTAGACGGCAGAGCCAGGCAACGTCTCACACACGCCGGCTATGCTGGAGAGCTGGAGAGCTGGAGATGGTAATAGAGATGGTGCTGGTGGCAGAGGGAGATGAAGAAGACGAGAAGGTAAACGCAAACAGACAGCTGGATAGACGGACAGAGAGCCAGACAGACAGATAGACAGACAGACAGACAGGCAGGCAGGCAGGCAGGCAGGACGAACAGAACGGAACAGAACAGAGTGGAGCAAGCGACTGCAATTGTTGTCGTGGGCGTTACAGATACAACAGCAACAACATCAACAACTTGAGTGAAGTTGGCAGCAAACAACAACACCAACAACAAGTACAATAACAATGAAACAAAGACAAAACTTGCACAGAAGTACAACATTTTCGAGTTTGCCATTGCATTTTTCGTCTACTTTGAACTTTAGAAAGCGTCTAACGTCTAACGCCCCCCTCTCTTGGCTCCACAAGTCCTCCCGGTGCATGTGTACTGATGCATTTGTGCACTGTAATCACGCAATCATGTTCCCCACTTCTGAACTCTTAATGGCAATCGGTGTAAACGTGCGCACAAGTTGCCAACTCTGTTGGCCACTGCCAGGATTGTGGCTGTCGGGGCTTACGGGGCTGACGGGACGGCTGGGTGGGAGCGCAGCAGAAGCAAGGAGCTGCGGGAAGGTTGTCTCGTTTTGTAGGTGGACATAAATATTTATCTTTTGGCAAAAAGTTGCCTGATATTTTCTATGTAGCCATAGTTTTCTTTTCCACTTTTCGAACAAAACTTGGCCAATGTTGTGCAACATTTTCTGCATAAATTATAAGAAACGAACGTTGAGCAAGTGCTCTACATTTTAAAGGGGACGGACTTTACAGAGATATGGTGTACAAAAATTTACAAGAGCACACTTCAAACTTCTCAAGTTGAAATAAAAAAGAGAAGAGCAGAATGCTCGAGTCGCGCGGGCTCAACTGTTTAATAAATAATATATGTTTTCAGTTTAATTTTTTAAAATTAATTAATTAAAATGAAAAAAAATTCACAAGTTTGTGTCAAAGAAGCAACAACAACAGCAACTACATGCATAAAATGAGAAGATAATACATTTATGGCTACAACTTCCTTTAGAACTAACCTATCACTATGAAACTTGACCTAGGTATAAATAAGCACTGTCAGTGTGTAAATATTTAATTTAAATACAAATTTCAATATGAAGAGTGTAATGGAAAATCAGTAATAATGGTGGAGGGGTGCACGTAAAACACATAAACTTCTCTTTCCTCAGACCCAGGAGTATACTAACAGTTGAGGGCAGTTCAACCTGTTAATAAAACGTACGAATATATGATAACTTTTAATTTTTTCTAATCCAATGCAATACCTAATATATTGCAAGCAATATGGGAATCCATTTTTAACTACCAGTATATAAACAAATATTGTGTTTTGCAATCCCTAAGAAATTTGCGGATTTTCGCATTTGAACCTGTTTTCGTTTTAGTCTCCATCAATGGATTCTAGCTCTCAGAACTTTTTGCCGCCTACATAAAACTTGTTTACTCAAACAAATCACCATAAAAATGTGCGCCAGTCAGCCAAACAGTTGAACCACAACAGCGTAATAAAGTTGCCATGTATATGCGCCTTGGAATATGCAGCACAATACTGCGTCTGTGCCACAAAAGTTGAGACTCACTCACAAACAGCAAGTAGGACCCGGCATTGGCCCGACTGTCGAAGCTAGTGTTGGTGGCGGCGATGGCGTAGAAGGTAAAAAATATAAAAAACAACTTCAACTCGACACGTTAAATTAAAATGTCACATAAATCTTTGCGTGAAATTTCATTAAAATACGCTTACAGCATCAGCCGGGCTGAAGAGCTGTGAGAATGGAAATGGAATGCAAGTCCTTAGTCCAGCAAAAACTTTGCACTTAAAGGCGGAGGCAGAGGCATAGACAGAGTTAGAGGCAGAGGAAGACTCGGATCGCCCCGACCCTTTCCCCGACTAACCAACGACCGAGCCAATGCTTTTTGTCAGACAATTTACAATATTAAAATGGTTCATGGCAGGATGCCGGACTGTTGTCCTTTATGCAAAACTAAACAATAAGCACAGACAAAAGCTGGGCTCAAAACTGTAAGTAACACAAGCAGAAGCCGAACAAAAGATTTATGGAGAAGTGGGGGTGGGGAAACGGGAGTGTGAGAGTGTTTGGGTCATACAATGCCTAATGCTCACCTCGGGAAATACAAGCGCACAATTTCACCGACGCGTCCTTTGATGTGATAGCTGCAGGATGTATTTGGTGGATACCAGTGCGCTATGCTCAGAAAAATGCCCTCGCTGGCGCTGCTGTCCTTCAGCGAATCGGAGCTGAGTAGCCAATCGCACACGCCGTGCTTGATGCCGGCCGTTTCCACATGACCTGGCCAATTGCCAACATTGAAATGGAAGCCGGTATTGAGTAAAGGACCCGCGGGCGATGTAACGAACTCCACGTACATGTATTGTGATGTGCCTGTGCATAAAAACAAATTTTTTGAGTAAAGCTGTGTAAAGCGCGAGGGAGGGGGGGTTAACATACGGCAGGCCTGTGGCACAATTGGCTTTCTCTACTCACCAATAATGCTGAATGGGAACTTGCCCAGGCCGCAGAACTTCCCTATAAGCGGTGAATGCTCATCGCGTCCATCATACACGGCCAGCCAATCGTAGGGACAATGTTCGTTGCCCGAGCCGATGGGACGTATCGGACAGGTCATGACGTTTTCGCATCTGCAATAAAGTTTAATGAATTCAAATGAAAAATGCTGCACAAGTTTCCGCTTTAATGTTCGCGGCCTGTCGTTTCATTTATTTGAAGCGGCCAAAAGGTAAATTCAAATGTCGACAATAAAAACGAACAATTAAAAGGCGCGCGCATCGTAAAAAACTCAAGTGTAAAAATCCAGACGAATGGCGTCTAAAATTGAATGAATGGGTCCATGAGTTCATAGGCGAAGAGAATGGAGCAGTCTGAAGTGGTGATCAGGGACGTACTTGCTGACTGAACAGCTGAAAAGGGTGAATACAAATTCCGGATTTAAAAATATGATGCCATCATCCTGGATCATCACAAAGTTATAATAAGTAATTTATTGCTTCTTAAAGGCACGTCGCTATCCCATTCATCAAATTTCAACAAACCTCTTACCGCACATACCCGTAGCTGTGAATTTGAGCCGCTGGACTGGCTAAAAAACAATCCCCCGACGCGTCTGAGATTAACTTAAAAGATTTATATTTCAATATTTTAAATTAATTAGGTATATTCATTTTATTTTTGTAGTTTTGATTTAATTTTTCCCGTTGTGTTTATTACTATTATTTCATTTTTATTTAATTTCTACCACTCTATTTTTCGTTACAACTTTTCTCTGACTATTCTGGGCATAGCCTTTGAGCAAATAAAACCCAACAAATCGGATTCTTTATTAAAAATTGATGCAATTTTAAATGCTCTTCTGCTTTTTATTTTTCTTCATAAGTTATCTGTTGTTTGAATTTTTAGATGAATAAATGAACAAAATAATGCTGTTCTAAGTTCTGAATAAAAAGGGGAATCGAAAGAAATATAATCTCTTCCTTTCCAAGCCTGAGCAGGTACAGTATGCCAATGTTAGTGACTCTAGTTCTTATACTTGCATTCATACAGACAGACAGTTGGACTTGTCTAGGACGAATTGTTTTGTCAACTGATGAAGATTCCATTTACGTCTCCTTTTGATTCACAATAACAAATACTTGTATCGTTTGGATCGCAATTAATTAAGGTTGCAATGAATCGAATAAGTTTACCTTGTATTGGAAAGAAAAACTAAAGGCACATTATATCTGTACACCAGTTCTAATTGAACACACAAGATTCAATTAATTAAAGTAAAAAATTGCTGATGAGTTACAAAAATGGTGCACTTATCATTAATTAGCAAACGAACAGTGGATTCTTCCTGATGAAAGGAAGCTGCAAACATGAACGATAATTAATTGAATACTTAGCTGGGCTCATAATTAAATATGTGGAATTGTAATTGCCTAAGAAAACTAACTTCAAGAAGCAGCACAAATGCCTTTAAATTGACGCTTCTTTATTCTCCTACGTCCCTGTTCAGTATTTTTATATGTAAGAGTACATTGTGGTAGTGGGGAAAGGTTTGAAGTGTCTGCTTTGTAGTCCCTTCTAATTTCTTATGGCTAGAATTTTTTCTCCAAATCAGCGGTCTGGCTTGAACCAACGAAATGATGAATTGGACGCGAAGCAGCATTCTCTTATCCTTGACTGTGTGACCAGACAAAGAGTGACCTTTTGCAATTGTTTGTCCCTCCACTGTGGCTATTTGTGGTGGAGCGTTCTTTTAACGAATGCGAATACAATTTGCTTTAAAAGCAGACAAACAAGCGACTGATGGGGATCGAGCAGACATCTAGCCTGGGGGCGCAGTTCAAAAGGCAAATAAAATTCCTTTCACCTGTGCACGCGCCCGTGTGAACTTTCTAATTGAAAGCCAACTTTGGCAATTAAGTTTCGGACTTTAATCAAATACAAATGGACAACTGCATCGAGACATACTACACATGCTTGTACATCAGAGTCTGGACTTGATGAAAACGATTCGATTTGAAATTGCAATAAAAATACAATTTTAATTGACATTTTATTGAGTCTGCGAGCAAGCCGAAAAACTTGCAAAAAACTTTGTCGAGCAGGCCAAGTTTGTATCTGATAGGTGGTAGTATGTCCATCGGTTAGTCTGTGAGTGAATCACTCAGTCACAGAGTTGCTTCTTTTCAGTCAATTTAATCACTTTGTCAGCAAGTTGGGATCGTATAATGTCTAGGCACTGCCGCTCATGGTTCAATCCTAATCTAACTTATTGATAATAAATGCGCAGGGCGAAAAGTTTATTATTTTTTTCTACTCACATTACTTTACTTTTTGTGCTTGCCCCAGAAAAACTTGCAAAAACTTTTGGCCAACAGACATATCAAAAATAACTGACTGGTAATAATTTCGGCATATTAAAAAACTTTTTTCTCGATGACTTTTGCATTTATTTGGCCCAGGCAAAGGCAAAGGCAACGCTACCCAAAAGTTTCGATGAAGTTTGTTGTGTGTATTCTGGTGTTTGTTGGGGTTTCCAAACTGCTGTGCTGGCAAAATATTTGCTCTGGTACAAGCTACAAGGCACAGAAAATTAGAAAAATGTTTTGGAAAACTGCCTGAGAGTAGGGGGAAAGTAAAGCGAGCTGAGCTCGCAATAAAATGAAGTGATTTATACGACGCACACAGGTTTGAAATTGTAACACAAGTTAATGCTAAGTTAGCGCATACTCGAACATACTAGCATAAGTGGACTGCTTAACGGAGTTGGAAGGCATTTTACCATTTGATATTATGAATATTTTAGTTATTAATCATTTACATTAAAAACATTGTTAACAGACTTCGATTTCTCAGGAAATTTGAATCGGACGACGAATAGCGACATTAAACGCATCCTACAGGAATATCGAACTTTTGAGAAATAATGTCATTTCAAAATTAGAGTAAAGGTTTGTTCCGTGAAAAACTTCCTTAATTACATATGTATGTATATTTGCTGATTTCCAATTTATTAGTCAATTCATTAATATACATATGTCACCTTTAAAAAAGTCTCTGTAAAATTTTTGATTCCCAGAACCCAATTTAAAAATCATGTTTCGTAGAATTACGAGTGCTTTTTAATAGTATTCATGATTGTTTCCTAGTTTTGAATCATAAATCTGTAAAGACCAGGCAACGATTATGATTTATTATTTGCGTAAATCGACTGCCATCTCCACCAGCGGCTTTACGCCGTCCGCCAACCTGACGCGTTTGTGAGGCTTGATAACCACAAGCGATATATTAAGAGACTTGTCTACACTCATCATAGCACCTGCGTTATCATATTCTCCACAATAATTAACAGCGGAGAAGACAGTGATCAGTTGACGCTTTGCAAAGAATTCATAGCCATCCTCAGCAACTTGATGAGCCCTACAAACTAGGTCCAGAGAATGCCGCGATAGGAAATTCTGTACAATATCGGGACCAAATTTGAAGCTGACTCCACGGTCACTGTGCGCCCAGCCTGTGATGGCTCCATCGGGATCCGACCAAAGCAGGTCGCACAATAGACCGGCCCCTCTTACTTCTGCAGGGCGCTTTAATTTTCGTATGTCTTCCATTTCGTAGAGCACCGGGCTCAGACCACCATGGCAACAGAAGATCTTACCGTCAATGAGGGCCGCCACGGGCAGGCAGTTGTAGCAGTCAACGAATGCCTTCCACAGCCGTACGGTAAAGCGACGCTTACACTCGTCGTAGAACCCGTAGTGCTGATTGATGGAGGCGGATTCGTGGTTTCCCCGCAGTAGGAACACATTTTGCGGATACCTCACTCGCAAGGCTAGTAGAAACGTCATTGTCTCCACGCCATTTGGGCCACGATCCACGTAGTCCCCCAAAAATAAAAAGCTCTTGTTGGGTGGGTAGCCGGACATTTGAAAGTAGCGCAGTAAATCCCCGAATTGTCCGTGAATGTCACCGACCACGTTGACCGGTGCATTCACTTCTAGGAGCATGGGCTCGTTCATAAGGGCTTCTCGTGCTAAATCCAACAAAGCAAACATATCCATTTCAGGAATCATATCATAAGGTTTGTTTTGTTTCCAGAGCCTTAGCTTGTTTATCATATCTTCTATTTGTGTTACCAACATTGCCAAGAAAGCTTGAACAATTTAAGACTATTATAAAATAAACATCTGAACTACATAAGGAATAAGAAATAAAATAACTATGACACTAAATTCACAAAATTTCCTGATAAAAGGAAGACTGAATAAGAAAGCATTCTTTCTTAGATGTATTTATGTTCATGCAAAAGATACTCAAAATAAATTTACTGATAAAGAAACTTGTCACCAATAATAATATTAGTATATGTCAGTTGACAAGAACCAAATAGGGTGTTTTTCTTCTAGGCTGTTACTTATTTAATCACAATAGTGGCAGAAGCACCAGAACATGGTGTGAGCGCTTTACTAAAATATTAAAGCTTACTTTTAGAGTGTGAATGTGTATCAAAAATGCTGCAAGTAGTAGTGTGGCTCATTGTTCCTCATAAATTGGTCTAAGTAATGCTGTGAGTTGCAGTCTAAGTCTAGCCGTTAAGATATTTTCCGCGCCAAAAGTTCTAACTTGGAGTTAATATTTCCCTAAAAGTTTGCAGTTATTTATCGTTTGGAGACACCCAAGGAAAGAATCATCACATTACTCCAACAGCGTTGTATTTTTTATTGGTAACGCCTTTCCTGGCAACAGGAAGCTCCTTCTCCGTCTCCCAGAGCTTAAAGTAAACTAAACGCCTATCGCGTCCTGCTTCTTTGTGACGACATCCTGTGGCGGTCACCAGGGCGTCGTTACAATCGTGATGTTGCTGCTTTGGCTGAATTCGATTATGCTATTGAAGCTGCATACTTGTATAAGCATATGTCTCTAGTTATATTGTTTTTATTTCATTTTTTTTATTTATAGATATCAATTTTTTAAATTTTACTTCCTAAATACATTTAAGTAATTCGAGATATTTTGAAGGCTTGAAGGTTACTGTGGCATTAGTAATAATTTTGTATTTGTCTATAAGAACTAACTTTAGATCATGAATAACATAACGGAGTAAAAATACTTATAGTACGTGCTTGATTTGCTTGTACGAACGTTGGCAGTAGGAATCACAGACCTTAGTACCTAGCCGCTAATATCTAGAGAAGTACATACGTAACATTCAAACGGGGTTTGTGAAACCCGAAATAAAAGTGAAGCAGGTGAAGTATACCAGTAGCTTTCTGATCCCACCGATTTCAATGCATTAACTGGTGGAGCACTTAAAGCTACATATAAAACAGGTAATCGAAAGTGGAATTATCTAACCATTTATGTTTCAATAATATTAAAAAATCTGCGATGTTAATGCCCTGAACATGAACTGTGGCAGCCTCCAGAAAGTACATATTATACACTTATATATTCTTAATTAGTATGACAAGATGATTCGATTTAGCCATGTCTGTCTCAAAGACTTTGGGAGCTAGAGACACAATTACACACAGATGCCTTATATGTGTAGGCAGTAAAAGTTTCACCCCTCCACAGAGACTAAAGGAACTAGCGACACATTATTTTGAACACAGATACTTGTAGATTACCTTAAGCGTGTACGCTGTAAAAAATGTATCTCAAAATGTTGTTCGTTATCCCAATATTCCTACTATCAGTAATTTTCCATAACTCCGACAGTTCTTGGCATTTTTACCCAACATTTAGCAATTAGTTCCGGTTAAAGCTTATGTGTCCGTATGTTAAGAAAGGTTTACCAATAACTGTAATATCTGACTGCTTTCAGCCGCTGTTGCCGCTCAACTCTCTACTGCACACATACGACTACTCACACAGAGACACGCATAAGCACACGCAATACCTACGTAAATGTGCAGTTATATACCTTTCACACGGTATTTCAAAGAAGGACTTATCATATGCTCCTTCTCTTTTTTACTGACTTTGAAAGGCAGCATTTAGCACATGATATCGTAAGAGGCCCAGTCCGCTTGTAAGATCAATCACAGCACAAATATATTGGGAGTCTTTAAGTGTTTGTTGTTCACACCCACACACTCACACTTTTACACTTGTACTGTATAGACTTGGAACATCTGGCCCTCACAACAGCTGACAAATACAATTTACAATTCCAGCCATGACGGCAGGCGCAGGCACAGGCACAGGCACAGGCACAGGCACTTGATGACCTTTCACAAATGCTGAGGCTGCGTCTGTGGCTAGGACTACGGTCAGGTCGTAACATTTGCACAGCTATTGCCATTTTCTGCCTTATCACTGTTGGATGGGGATGCCATCCCCATTAGCTCTGGCACCCTGCGACGCTGAGCAGCTTTCTTTTTGCCCTTTTAAAGTGCTCAAATTACGCCACAGAAACAGCTCAGCAGTGGCCTCTTAACACTTCTGCAGGGAATGGCAGGAGAGTCCAGGCACTTACTCACTGTCAGTCAGTTTACGGTTGCAAATGGGCGGACAGAACCAAAAGTATCTTAAAGTTGTTTGATGTGCAAATTCCAGTCAGCATATTTCACTTTCCTCCCTTTTCCCTTTAATGCTCATTTCCCATTCCCGCCTGCTGCCCGCTTGAATCTCTTTGTGCATTTGCGCGTACACATCAATGTCCGCCAACTTTGAATTAGATAAGCAACATTCAATTTATTTTTATAGATTCAATTTGAATATTTACCTTTTGAGGTAGAAGGACTGGAATTCTGCTCAGACACTCTGCTGTCAAAGCCGGCTCTTTTCAAAGTGGCAACCAGTTCGTGTAAATGTCCTGAATAGCCTTTGGGTCGGCTTTGGGTCTGGGATTGCGCAAGCCTGACAATCATCCCAGCATGTATATTAATTTGCAAGTCCAGGTCCGTCTCAGCGAAAATGAGTTAAGTGAATGGCACACGCCTTATTAAAAGGCACGGGTTGCACATTTCCCTAGTCTTAGCAAACCAGCATAACGAACTCATTAATAATTTGAGTTGAGGTCGGGTAACTTCTATTAGCACCAGGATTGCCTCAAAACTTAAATGGTTTTTGTGTTCTTTATTGGGTGAATGCAAGGCAGATATGCCAGAGAGGCATTTGTGCCTTTTCCTTTTTGAGGTACGATATATACTCGTATGACCATACCAACAAGTGTCGTGTGTGTTATTTATAACTTGTACACAAGCGATAAATGGGAAATTGTCTTTTCTCCTTCTTGCTTACGCTGAAAAACTGTTCATTCTTTCATTGTCTCAAATGAAACCTTCACAAATCAGCTATCAACCTAAATGCAAAGCTGGAGTTGAATAGGCCGAACCCTTAGATACCCTGACTCCACTTCTAAAAGAAAAATAAATTTAAAATATTTTTTAAACAAGAGAGAACGCTACAGTCGAGCAAGACCGACAGTGTAATACCCTGTATTCCGGTAAACTTCCGTCACTGAGTTATATGCGCCCATAGCAGAAGCAAAAAGAGGAAGAAGAAGAGCGAACTTGTTGCTGCAGTTGGTGGGGGTTGTACTGGCGAGAATTTGTTTCGTTAATAACTTTTCTTAGAATTGACCGAATTGGATGCAATTTCAAATAACAACAGATAATTATATATAAATGATGTGTGCACGGTTTGGTTTAGGTAGCATTTGAAATGTGGACGCTATTGACGAAATTCTGTAGCGGGGGAAGGGGGGAAAATTCCAAAAAATAAAATAAACTCGTCCTTTCTCGGACCTGGATACCAACTTTGGTTATTCTAGCTTTTATAGTTTCTGAGATCCTTGCGTTCATTCAGACGGACGGACGGACGAACATGTCTAGATCGATTTCTTTCGTCATGGTGATTCAGAATATATATACTTTATGGGGCCGGAGATGCTTCCTTCCGCATGTACATACTTTGCACAAATCTAATATACCCTTTTTACCCTACGGGTACAGGGTATAATAATGTTCTAATATCCTCTAATTAAAAGGGTATGTAACACACAGATACATCTATAAATATATTTATGTTCAGTATGAGAAGACGAGTCGATATATCCATGTCCATAACACACAATAGCTGCGGTCAGAGCATTATCACAGATTACACTTTTGGCTATACGCTTTTATCAAATGATTTATCGGGATGGAACTTAACATGAAGATACATGAGCACGTGTCAAAGTGTAGGAAAGATTACACTTTAGTCTTCCTTTGAAGTAAGGCTATTAAAATAAAACATAACATGGTTAAATACGCACTAAAAGAATGCGATTGCAAAATATGACCAAAACAGCTAGAATAACCGGAGCTTTAATGAAACTTCTTTAGCGGGTGAATGGGGACTCGACGAAAAACGGGCACATGCCCTTCTTTGGATAAAGATAAACCTAGAAAAACATTTGGAAAATTCACATAGTTTTCATATTTTCGCTACACTTGTATTCAAGGGTGAACGTAGATTTTTCCAAAAGGGGGTTGGGAGCCAAATGAAAATTTTGATTAAATAATGCATGATGCATTTAAAAAATAGTTTATGCATATGGTCAATAAAAAACTTCAACAAATCTAACTCAGTTCCATTTTAGGGCGAAATATGCGCCATAATACTGAATGTATGGTCGACATCATATGGCGAAATTCATATTCAAATGATGCTTTTTAATAAACGAGGTCCGTCGAAAAAAAACCGTAAACTTCTTATTTAGAAGAACGAAGAGATGTACATCAGCACGTCCAAGTTCACCTTCTCATAATACTGAATAACAGATTACCTTTGGGTACAGAGCATAAAAGGTAGTAATTTTGCTGAGCACATACGTCATTAAGGAACTTCCTATTGTGCATTAACAAATCCTTTTAAATTGTTGCTTTAATGATTTCTTGTTGTGGTACAAAAGGGTAAATCAGTTTTGTGCTATCTCGTAGTGATTTGGCCGCGACATACTCTCAGGCCGATGTAGGTGAATTATATTTGTACGAATTAGAATCTCCACAGCATGTGACAAGTTTTTATTAGCTCAATCTAACTCTGCCTACTGACTAATTTCTTAAAGGGTAAATACTTCACTATTCACATGAATTGAAAACAATTTAGTAAGACCTTTATTTAATTACCGAGACTTAGTCTGTCTTTAATATACAAATTTCCAAAACAACTTGTATACATAAAGTTCATTGCATAATTAACTTCCCGATCCTGCTTATCAAATATAAAGTGTGTCGGCAACAGGGTCCGTCTTTCCCAAAAGCATTCATTCAAATTTGTGGAAAGTGCGAATATTTGAAATTACTATTATTTCGATGTTTTAATTACTTTAGTTCAGTCCTTCGCAAGCCTTCCACATAAATGAAGATATGTATTCTGAAGTAACGCAGATGTTGAACTTGTGTGTGTCATGAGGCCTCAATTCCTCATTACTTGCTGTCAGTTTTCAAGCAATGTTCCAACATAAGCAAATAGATAATGTTTACTTACTCAATTTTCTTGGATGAATTCATATTGAACTTGTCAATATGGTCATGTTTCATCATATTGTTCCATAAATATTGTTATTAGGTTTTTAAAGCTTACGTAGCTAAATACATAGTCAAATGAAAGTCTAACATTAATTTCTTTTTATTCCTCGCTTTCCATTTTTAGATTTGATTGCTATCCAACCCAAAGCAGTGCCTTTATCAGTATACTTGTATAGTCGTATACACTCTACTTTCTATATTCAGCACATAACCTGGTCGTGCTGGGAGGCATGCCGTAGAGTACGGACAAACATTAAAGAACACAAATACTTGCTGTGTCTGTCATTCTTGTGCTCTCCCCCAATACTGCCAATCAGACTAATTCCCAACTCATCTAATGCTGCACCTTTGAAAGCCAGACAATTTCATCATTTTCGCATTAATAATACAAAACAGCAACGAACGGCAACTCTTCCATTTCTCCAACTCAGCCAAAACATAATCCCTTAGTCCAATTCAATGCAGAGGGAGACAAAGAGAAGGCTGATGCCACCAGCGCCATCGAGAACATTGAGGACGAGGTCTGTGTGACATGTCGCCAACGTTTTGGCTGGAAATTGGTGCCAATTTTTCCAGCGTACTGTCAAATTGTCATTGTCAGCATGCCAAATGCATTGCTGCACTAACAGCAGCTACAACAAATTCGACAGCAACCCAAAATAAAGAAAAAATATATGTATCCCTATATAAAAAAAAAATGGTTCAGTCGCCATCGCTGCATTCAAATGGCAAACGTGCCAAAATGACAAATTGCTGGGTGTTAACTTGGCGCTAATTTCTGTGTCTCTACGTTATATAAAAGCAATTTGCATCGCATGTTTCTATGCTACATGGTTTATGCTTTTTGCTCCATACTATGTCCTTTTAGATGCTCAGAGCATCGCTCTTGCCTCACCTTTGCCCGTCGACCGCAAACTGTTCGTTCTGCAGATATAATTTGATGTACGGCTGACGCGTATGCAATTTATAACGACAGTTGAGTGCACGTGGATATAGTCCAGGATAAGCAGGAGATTGTACGTAGCAGGTTTGGAGCCGACAATCGCGGTACTCGCGTTCGCAGTACGATCTGAAAAGAGGAAAGAACGGGAGATGTTGAGTTGGCGAAATGGAATTAAATTGCTTTTCGTAACAAAAATTAAATTAGTTTTTATATTGTTTGTGGTACGCCCAAAAAGTTGCCAATAATAAATGTCCTTTGTAGGCCTTAAACGAGCCATGAACCTCGCGTCCACCCAAAAATCAAAACGTTCTTTTCCCCTAGTCCGTAATCCGCCAAATTAATAGCTGGAATTGCCTGCAAGGCAGCAAAGTAGAAACAGAAACAACAAAAGCAGAAAATTGTGTTCACTGATTTGGAAATTTTTCTTTTCTCTTTCCTTTCCCCCCCCCCCCCCCCACCCCTTGCGAGACGTTATAAAATTGTTGTTAAATTACAATAACAACTGTAAGGGCCAGTCGAGCGTTAGGACCGGGCGTATAATTTTCAATTTGTTTAAGTAAAACAAACGCGCCTTGTGAGGCAAATCAGTCAGTTGGTTAGTTGCATAAATATGTATTATATATATTTGCCTTTCTGTTTGCACTTTGTTGGCATTTTCCTTTGTCGTTTTGCGCACTCAAATTTGCCTTTTCATTTGCGCTGCGGTTGGCTCGGATGAGCCCGATTGTGACCACAAATTAGCATAAAAATCATCATTGGATGGCCATGGTTGTGTAAATACAAGTTAAATGGATAGTGCAGCTGTTTAAAATGTACGACTATGTATCAAATTAGGAATGCTCGAACAAAACAATATTGTAATTTGGAAAAGGGAATATTGCATTGTTGTTTTATGTATTTAAATCAAGCGTTTGTAATTTCTAATTGACTTAAATAATTATTATTTAAATTTGACAAATTGGATGATTATAATGATTGGAACAGTTCTGAGATCTGATCTGGCTGTTGTGGATTCTGTCAAAGGCTGCAACTACTATCAAAAGTTCAAAGCTATATTTTTACTCGTATTCTTATGCATGTGCTTATAATATGTGCTTTATTACCCAAGCTTGTCTTTTAAAAGTATGTTGGCCTAACCTGTAAACTCCTTAATGGGGACTTCAGTTCGACTGCAAGCATTGAACCCAACAGAAATCCGATGCATCGGATGACAACAGTATGGCTACCCCTTTTTCTGGATGTTAAAAAAAAAATCGAAAAAAATGCTTGGGTGGGCTTTTGGCTATCTGGTGGTGGTGGCTTATGATAAAACATTTTAAAATACCACTACAACGAAACAAGCTTTTCCAGAAAACAACCACAAATACCCGATGCTAAAAACCAAACGTCGATGAACGTAAAAAATCTTTTACAAAAATTCATCTATTCTTTTTTTTCACACTCAACATGTTGGTAAAAGAATGATAAACCACAACAGCTTTAGCTTTTTGTCAATAAATGGAATTTTTGTGCAAATATGGAAAATTGGACGAGGTAGAATCTTAGTGCCGTAGACAAACAAAATCGAATTTCTGACCGCCTTACGCTTCCTCTAGCGTAGCCGAATTGCATTGCTCTGACATTAACAAATATATTTAAGATGTTTTTATAAAAATCAACAACATAAATTTACTTTATATTACAAATCGACAGACATATTGAACTTCAAAACTTCACCAATTTAGTTTCTGAATTGAATTACTTATTAAGTACTTTGTTTGGAATCGAATAAAAAGGGTCCTTAGGACAGATCTTAAATAAAGAATAAAGATTTAAAAAAAAAATTAAACACAACATTTTTTGATGCAACAACATTACCATATCATATTACTTCATATTGGATCTTTAGCTCAGCTATCGGCAACGACTTTTGTTCCTTTTAGCTTGACTTGCCATTACTCACATAGCGCTCCTTTACGAACATAACTTTCAAATTAACATATCATCATTCACAGATGGTTGTGATGCAAAACTTAGTGTCATGTCAGCCATAAACTTTAACATCGGTTGCAAATTAAAACTGCCTAGTCAAAAGTTTTGGCAGCTCACAGACTGCGCGCATATGCACAACAAATGGCTCCAATAAATGCCGCACACAGCCTATATGCCCCAGCTCCAGCCTAAGCACTCCCCCGCACACGCCCTCGCCCAATTTTTGCCCTGCAAGCAATGCTGTAAACTTGCAACTTATTTTATTAAGATAAAAGTTAGACGTCAAATCAAATAAAATTTAATGTCTGCAAAGTTTTATTCGCCTCCTTTTTTCGCTGAGAATCGTTTGCCAAAAGAGCTGGCTGGTGTTCTGTGCCTGCTCATTTTACGCGAGTTTATTGTGTTGCGCTGTCTCTACTTGCTTTCCTCTCGTGCTCCTTGCTCCGAACGAATTGTAATTCAATTTTATGCGACCTTCTGGAGGGGACCGCTTGCCGCAGCCATCTTACCACCCTTGCCGCCACCCTTGCCCGCCTTACAGCGCTTTCATGCGCATTTTACATTCCGCTCAAAGCCTGCTCGCATATGATTATGAAATGTCAGCGCGCGGCACGAGCGCCGGGGCATGCCACTTGGAAATTGCCAAAGACGCCGATGCCGATGCCGATGCGAATGGAGGCCCGCAAAAACCACTCAAGTTGCGTGCAACATAATAAAATTAAATTAACGCGTCGCTGGCTACAAAGTAGTAACTGTCTGTCTGTCGGTCGGCAGGGCTGTCCTTGAGGACCCCACCCCCACCTTCCCAAGTCCTCAGCCCACTCATCCGCAGGGGCAACATAAAAGACGCACAAAGGCGCTAAACATTATCGATAAGCCGTAGAAGGCGGTCGAAGGAGCTGTTGTCAATGGCTCAGCTTGAGCTCGACCAGTTGCCATCTCATTTGTGGAGTCTGGGATTGGGCGTTCGTTCTCTTGTCACGCTTGTTGTTTTGCACATTGCGTATACGCACCCTTGCACAACTTCACCGCGACGATTTGGATATAATTCCGGATGTTGGCCATAACGCAAATAGACTTCGGTTTGTTGTTCGGCACGTGAATCGAATGTGAAGTAAGTCTGCAAAGATAAACAAGAAGGAAGGCAAAGGGATATGAGTAAACAACATTTTATTGTATAATTTAAAGCAAGCACGCACACACAGAAAAGCCCTTTTCAACATCACATAATTTTATCATTCCCATTCAATCGGAATATTAATTTTTACATACTGCGGGCACGACTGTGATTTAAATTAGTAAACAAAGCAGTTTAAAATTATCTTCGATTTAATGCTTAACCTCTGAATATATAATAACAACAATATAGATACAGTTACAAATGCTTAAAAAGGATACACAGATTGAAAGTTTTGGAAGTGAAAAATTGATATAATTTATATGTAGAATTCAATACCCTATACAAAAAAAAAACCAGTTTAATTTCTCATATTAGAGTTAGTTGATTCTTGCCAAGTTATATTGTGCTCAAATTAATCCAAAATAATACAAGTATATAGAACAATTGCTTCAAAGATAATGAAACACCGATCTCATAGAGCCAGCTTTTTTCGGTGCATACTTAAGCACCTCTGTGTCGCCGGCTGCGGCTAAGCTCGTTACCACTGGGGCTGCAGTTGATGAATTTTGCCAATTTCCTGCCTTGTAAAAACAAAGCGTCCAGCAACACTGGAGACAGCGGCGTGTACGCACTCGTCCACGCCACGCATACGCCTCCACCCACCTACCATCTCACCACCTCAGATTCGGCGCTGCCTTGCCGTGTTTTGCCAGTTCCTGGGCCTTGCCGCACCGTCGCGATCACGTCATGCATGAAAATGTGCACTGTCATTCATGGCATGGCCACATCAGTGAATTAGTGTGTGTGAGAATGCGTGAGCTGCACGGCGCACAAGACAATCAGGTCTGCTCCCGATTCCGAATCCATTTCGGAATCACAACCTCAGCGCCTTATTTGGCTTATAGCGGCAAAAGAAAACGTTCACATAAACCACTCAATAATGAAGATTCTTTTCATTAATATATTTTTAATAATTATGTAAAAGAGAAGGAGGCGTGACAGACCCCACAGAGTAATGTTCTTAATCAGTACGACAAGGCAAGTCGATGTTGAAATGTCCGTCTATCCATATATCTGCCTGTATGAAAGCAAGAATCTCAGATTCTATAAGAGCTAGAATTACCAAACTTCGTATAGAGATTTTCGGAATTTCAAGAAAGGAGACTCCATCGTTATACATAATTCTTGAATTTTGTATGTTAAGTTTGTTCATGATATGCCAAATGTTAGGAAAGTTATAGCTATAAATAAAATCTCGGCCCTAGCTCTGCCCACAGCTGTTGTTGTAAATGTATGCTATTGAAACCGTTCATAAATAGCTGTACATAGTTGTACATAAATATTTTGGGAACTTTGCTTTCTTGTTTTTTTCTTGTGAGACGGTAAGTTTTAAAAATGAATCTCTTGTTATTTTCTAATATTGAATTAAAAATTAAGTTTAGTTCTTATTGATTGAGATTTTAATAAGCATTATGGTTATCACTTTTCAGAACTTTTTTGAGTTTCCCCACTGAAACAGGATCTTTAAAATTCAACAACTCTGACATTCCGCTACTGCTACAAAAATACCATTAATTACGATGAAATTTGTTATTTAATATAGTAACGAATTCTAAGTTTTTTAAATTTTTTTATTGTGAAATGTGAATATTAGTGCCAGATTAGATATGAACATGTTCCTCTGCTTTTCTATCCATATATATAGTAAATAAGTGTATGTACCTAGGCCTAATAAATTAGTTGTTCATGTATTTTATCTATTTCCATAAGCTAGTTTTCCCCTCGAATGTGCAAATTGATATCGAATTGGAAATGGCGAGCATCCCTGATTGTGGTTTCTACCCCGCCCACCACCTGTTTGCCAATGCGTCTCGCTCCCACAATGCGTAAATGCCTGACTGGTTGCTCCTCTGGCTGTCAGCCTGCCTGCCTGGCCGTGCTCATCAACGCTAATGACGTGCTGCAGTGGCATCGTAGGCTCAACAGTGTTGTTGCCGTGCAATTGCTGCGACTCCCTATTAAGCCCAATTGGAAATTGGGTTTGTAGAGCACGGGATATTGGCAGCAGAGTTGCGTTGATTGATACATGCGTGAATAAATACGAACGTAATAAAGATTGGACAAGCGTTTTTGTCGCATTGAACGCTAAAACGACTCTCAAGTAGTCTCACAGCAATGTGCACAATAAATGTGTTTATGTTTGGCATAAAAGCTTGGTAGTGAAAATAAATTGAGTTGGATTACTATTTTAATTATGTTAAATCATATTTATCTCGTTGAACTTAATTGCATAAAAATTAAATACGTTTCACATTATAAATAAACAGTTTTGACTGAAAGCATTCTTAAATTAAATTATTTGGTATGTACATGAAGAGAAAATAAATATTAGAAAATAGTGAGCACACAAATGTTAGCGGCTGTTATGGTAAAAAAATCTTCCTGTCCATAATGAATGAATAAATTAAATTTTCAAAAAAGTGAAACAATACTTTCGGTATGAAAAGAAATGTGAGCAATAAAAGCACAAAGAAACACCATTAATGACACACAATGAGAACGCAATTTATTTAGAAATTAAAATAATAAATTTTGCTTTCAAAATTCAATTGTGTCCACAATCTGATCTAAATTTTAACACAATAAAGTTAATTTTAAACAAATTGTTCGCCCACACATTGTTGGGCAGCGAAAGGTTCTACAAAGGGTAAAAGTTTTTGGTTTGAACATATTGAATTGGCTTATATTTTTGAAACACTTTTTATACAGGTATTGAATTTAAATTATCATCCCAAAGAAGCTTATTATCAATTTTAAAAAATCACAAGATTAATCTAAGCATTACTCGTAAATTATGTGGCTCTTATGAAATAAAAGTTGTCAGAGGAGTCATTGTTTGTTATCTACATTTTCTGAAGAAAATGAACGACTTTTCTCAATACTTTTTGAAATATCCAGTGGAACTGACTTCTGCATTGACGGCCCATTTCCAAGGGGGTCGTCAATCGCTGTTCGTGTGTGTGTTTCCGTGCGTGCGTGAGCATGAGCGTAATGCACATGTCAATATTAAATGCGTTACCGGCGTCAATGACGTTAGCGCCACTTAACGATGTGAACAATGGTGGCGTGTCGGGCGACATCGGCAGGGCAGGGCAGGGCAGGCAGGAACAGGCAGATGGTACAAGCGGAACGTGTTACGTTTGTTTGCGCTTGCACGGGTATGCCTCTCTAGGACCCAACCACCCAGCCACCCAACCACCCAGCCACCCAATCACCCAACCGCCCAACTGCCCTGACCCTCAGCCGTACCTATGTATCTCGTTACGAGCATGTGACTTTAAATGCATCGCATATTTCCAACCATGATGACAATGATGATGACGATGGTGATGGCGATGTGGATGAGCATGAGGATGATGTCCTTGACGGCATCGCCACTGCCTGGCACTGATGTGGATGTTGTTGCAATGCAGTAATGCGTATTCACCCGCCTTATCACAATGGCTAGCATTGTTAATATTCTGGCAAATTTGTGATCGAATAAATTAAAAATCAGTCAGCATAACGGGACAGCCGCTGTCGCATTGATTTTTGACGGCAATTGATTGTTGCATCCCCCCCTGGCCGGCCTCAATCTCCACCTACTACACAGCTTTTACAATTTGGGAAATTGTTTTTGATTTATTCGGCCATTTGCCAACATGATTTTACGTTATATTAATGCGGGAATTGTTTTTGTTGCAGCTGTCAAAAGTTGGTTTTGTTGTAGGTTCTCATTATATACTATATTGTATATTCCAAGTTATTGCATGCCAGAGTCAGTGATAGCTCTATTATTTTTATTTATTACAGAGCGGAAATAAGTCACCCGTCGGTCATCCCCTCGCCCTTCATCCTCCCACTGCAGCTGCTGCAACCCATTTGCCGACGTACTCGAGCAAAATACGAGTAAGTGGCAAAATTTTTGCGCATTACAAAAAACAACAGCGGTACAAAAAAAGAAGGAAAATGTTGAAAAATCTGCGTGGAAAAACAAAACAACAAAAAAATAAGAAAAACAAAGAGCGTGCCCAACTTTAGCAACTGGCAGCTATGGCAACGGCGTCAACGGCAGTGGCAGTGGCAACGGGCAAGTTTTTCATAAATATTTATGACTCCATTAAGGTGTGCATAAGACACTCTGGGGGGTGCCGCGCCACGCCAGCGAAGTCGTCTACAGACTACTCGTGTGCATGAGTGTACTTGTATATGAAGTAGTCCCATTCACTGCTTTAGTTTGTTGTATTTGTGCTCTGCGCTTAAAGCGGGACTGCAGCCGGAAAACTGGCATGGAGTTAAACTAAATCAGAACACCGTTTAGCGTATTTCTAAATGCTGGAGTCGGCTGCGGCGAAAACTGAAAACCACACAAGTTACGGCAGTGGGTATTGAGAAATAGATATAGGGTATACTTGCAAGAAGTATTCCATTTTCGTTACTTGTTCTAGATTTTCGCCTGTACTTTATATACTCGTATGTGTGAACACAGTGGTTGCTGGCAGCTTGAAACGCTTCTCACATGATGTAGGTGTAAATTATTTTTCAGAAAATAAAAAGGAGAAATGGAAGAAGTTTATTGATTGCTTTTATTGTTAAATATTTTCAAATATTAGCCTAATATTTTAATTCTCTTTTATTACAAGGCTTCATAAAAGAATCACTCGTATGAATTTTTAAATATGTATGTTTCATAAAATTTTAATTAAAAAATGTTGCGATCTTGTTTATTGTCTCGAGATCACCATTTAATCTTGTGCAGCAAAATACGATAAAGTTCATTTTTTAATTATGTTCTTTTTCATTTTGATTGTTTAAAATTATTTTGCTCAATTTCTTATTGATTGCTTATAAAATAGTTACTGAGAGAGAGAGATAAAAGAGTAGTAATTCGGCGATCATGAGAAATGGGTAAAACCAATATTTTCCAGCTGATTTTTTCCTTTGATTCAATACTTAAGAAAAATGCATAATTCTCTTAGTTATCCAAAATTCATTTATCTAAACACAACCACTTCAATTAATTTTGGCGCAGCCTTTCCAGGCACTTAAAACTGTCTCTCCTTTGGACCAGAAATTTAAAATTGTTTTGTGTCTAGTGTATCAGAAATTATTGATTTCGGAAGTGTTTTTTAAAATAATCTCAAAATCGTTTTTAGCTTTTTATGAACTCACATGCTGCACTAAAAGTTCAGCACCGCTCTTGACAAAAATCAGAGAAATTGCGACAACAACAAAAACAACAAACACGACAACGGGAAAAATACGAACTATATGCAGCTCTAAATAGAATTCAACTTTTGAAAAGCATTGCGCATAAAGTGCAATGGCGGAACTTTATTTTGGGGTTATGGGGAGGTGATTCCGATGACGTTGGCGGCATGGAGTCGCTGAGTAAACAAGGGCAGAGAACCAATAGAGCCGCACACACACACACACACACACACGCACAAACACACAGACACACCGACATGCTAACGAACAGACAGACAGTCAAATGCATACTATACTCGTATAAAGTATACGTACGTAGAGACATATGGACTGACTGACAGCAGACGCGGCCACTGAACAAAACGCCAGCGCTCGTCGCGACAAACAGACCGTGGGGCTTACCCCCCTCTGCCTACACCTACTCCCACACCTACACCCATCCCAACTGCCATGAAGCAGAAGGATTGGGCCAGCCAGCGAACACTTGAATAATGCATGCATGCAAAAAATTCTATACATATATATACTTGTATGTATACATACAAGTATAAGCACGGGTATGTGCTCTCGTGTGTGGACGGTCGCTTGTTTGTGCGATACTAAGTGCGAAAGTGAGTTGCATAGATGCAGGAGGAGTTAAGCATAGAGCAAGTGGTCGAGAGCTGGCAGCCGGCAGCCGGCAGCCAACAGTGCACGGGTCAGAGCAGACGAAGAAAAACGAAATAAAGTAAGAGCCGACAGCACAAGGGAGAGAAAAAGAGCGGCAGGCGAGGCAAGCGAGCGACACCAGCGTCGCCATCGACGCCAACGAACCCACCGACGACGATGACAGCGAAGACTTGTGTGTTGTAATATTTTCTTTAAATTATGTGATAAATATAAATTCATATACACGTATAGTACATGTGTGTCCATGTATGTGAGCGCCCTGTCTGGGTGCGGATGCGTGGGTGTGCGGGTGTGTGTATGAGTGTGTGTGTGTGTGTGTGTGTGTGTGTGTGTGTGTGTGTGTGTGTAGGTGACTGCATGACGCATAGATCAAGATCGGAGCTGGCGGCGAAGCCTTAGCTGCACCATGGAGCTGGGTACTTGTTTATTAGGGTAAGTGCGTTGCTGGCGCTTCTGCAACTTAGACATGCTATTTGCTGTTGTTGCAGTAATTGGAATTCTCTGGAGTTTGTTTATGAATAAGTGGAATTTACGTGCTTCTCACACCTGCAGCTGTTGATACACTCCTACACCCGCATGTATATGAAATTGCACTTATGTATGTATATAATTTTATGAATGTGCTCACGAATAAAGGTAGTAATGCGGGATGGGGCGAATCTAATTCAAAAGTCTTTATGCTTAATCAGAAATTCGCAGATATTTTAATTGAAAATGCGCGAAATTGGCTACGAGTATGTATTTATTTGAATACCGTTTCATAGTTTTTGCGTTCAAGAAACATAAACATCCTCATAGTTAATGGCATCTGAAATATGTACATTTGTGAAATTTCTAATCTAATGTCCACCTACTCTAGGCAGTAAATATGGAAGGCTGTATTTGAGAAAAATAGCTTAATAGCCCAAGCACACTTACATTATACAGTCATTTCGATCAAAGTCATCTTTTACAAGTTACTTACTTGTAAGATTAGAAACGTTTCAAAGCAATATCCTGATAAAGTCGCCATATTGTACATACATATAACTTGGTTATTTTAATCTTCTAAAATAATAAATGTATTTCAAATTCGACACTTAAACTTACAAAAAAAAAAACGAGTCAATTGTTAAAACTTAAATTAAGCTAGATAATATTTTACAGTCGGCACATTGTGTTTACGAAATACTGAGGGAAAATATTCATTCAGAAATTAGCTGTGAAGATCTTTCTGCAGATGCTCGAGCATAAGCGGTTCACTAATCTCTTTTATTTTAAACTAACATTTCAATGCCACTCACCTGATCCGTAAAATTATCCGTGTGGAACAGGACCTTTACATAACTAGTTTCGCTGATGAAGGTCTGCGGCTGCTCAGCCTCGCCACAAAACATGCCGGGCTCGCGGCGGTTGGAGACGTCCGTCTTCGCATTGCCGTCAACAATCTGCAACAAAGATGACCAAAGTTGGGCCATAAGTAAAGTCATGTGATAAATAAGACAAAGGACGCAAGTGATGTGCATAAATTGTCTACAAGACGTGGAAGACATGACATTTTGATGCCCATGTCCATATCCATATGGCCATGCATGCGTATGTTGGCGCTCCGCGGCTATAAAGCTGTCAGATGGCACATAAGTCATCATTTAGGCGCACACACTTTAACAAAGTGGCACTGGGTGGTGCCATGTTGAAGGCCTTGGCTTCTGCCACCCATAAACGTAATTTGATTGCCTGTCTGCTATAAATCAGTTGCACAAACATACATATTTGTACGCACCTGCAAAAAGCCGCCCTCGCAGTGTGTCGCATTTAGGAGTTGGCCAACTTTGAACTTCTTGAAGCGCAGTCGGAGAACGAAGTCGCGCGGCGCACCTTTGAGCGTGCGAAAGCGGTACCAGCAGGTGAGCGGCCGGCCCAGATTTTGATGGCTAACCTCCGGTGAGCTTATGTCCTCAAAAATGTCCACCGTCTTATTGCAGTGATCCTTGGATATGTCTGAAGAGCTGCCGCCTCCGCCGCCCCCGCCTCCACTGCCACCGCTACCACTGCCACCTAAAAAAAAACAAAAATACAAACGTGAATGTTTTTGTTGTTCTTATTAAGGTAGAAAGTCAGCTGAAGTCAAGTTATTAAGGGCGAAGGCATCGGGCACACATATTTAAGCAACACGTACTTTACGGCCAACGAACACGGCATTAACTTAGCCAACTTAAGGGTAGTCTTGCAGGAGCTAGTAACAAGAGTGCCCATCTTTTTAGACATTCAAAAAAGAAGGGAACAAACATACTCCACTGGATCCGTTTTTTAAAGCTATTTATTTATTACTTTTAAGTGTAATATGCTCGCTTAGTGTAATCAGTACCACAAGGTGTGACTAAAATATATTTTTTGTTCGAAAATATGCCGCCGAAAGACAATAATGTTTCACACCCACAAATCTTTAAAAATGTTTAATACATAGTAAGTACTTTCGATTCTCGATTTTATATCATTTGTGGTTGTTGGATACACTGTATTGTTGTAATAACCTTCTTCTTTCTGAGAATGCTTAACATATATTCAATAACGCATATTAAATTTAGATTAGGAAAAAATTATTTGTCCACCCGTTTGAAAACATAATATTATTGCTCCCTAAATGGTGGAACCCTAAGAAAGCCCACTTGAAATCACAATAATCACACTGGGCACCAAAAGTTGAACATTTTTTACAAAAGAATTAAAATCCGGGTTGATAAAACCCTAGGCCAAGCTGAAAGGGAATAAACAGAAACTAGAAAATAAATTATGATGGCAACGATCGTGTGGCTGCTGATGCTCACATCTGCACAATGTCCTGCTTATTGTGTTGCTCTATGTGCTACACAATTGCTCAGTGTTTACATTCTGCTCATGAGCATTATCAGCACACATTCTCCCATTGCTGAGTGGTGAGTGATCGCATTCCTCTGATGCCCATGAGCAACTTCGAGCATCAGTACAGAAATGGCCAGACTTCGAACGCTGACCAAAGAAAATGTCCACATACTAATCTGATAACCATTTAACTCTGGCTCTAAAAAACGGCTATCGCCTCACAAATTATTTTCCTCAAATAAAAGATCTTAATTGCAGCTCATATCTTTCTTTCAGATATTGGAAAATTAAATTTAAAGACAGCTTAGCTATTTCTAAGCTCATTTCTAAGCTTTTTGTGTATTATATTTTGGGTAATGGAATTACAACTCAAGGTTTTCTTCAAAAATCGAATTGAAGTCAAATAGTTGGGAAGCAAATATGTTTTGAGAGCTCTATAGCGCTAATCGCTTTATTTATGCCATTATCCTTTTTAAATATCAAGTCATAAATTAAAAGAAAACTGTTTTATACGTATTTCAATCTTTAGCTATCCAACAAATTTTATTTTATTTATTTTATTTATTTTTTTTATTTTTTTTTTTTAAATAATAGGAAGTATTTCGGTGTGATATTAAAAACAATTAACCTAAGCTTGCAGAGTATTTAAGTCTGATTTACTTTAAACAATCTAACAAAATTCTTTTCACTAATGTTGCCTTAGATCTGAATTAAATGCTGCGATTAAATAATAAACACCTAGTCAGAAAGCCAAAAAATAATGGTCAACATCTGGAGAAAACACTGAAATACTAAAGACTTTGTGTGATATGAAAACGGTCACCTTGACGGCTACACAGGCACAGGACGGGGCGCTGAAATTCATTGTGCTTAATTTATTCGGCGAATGCATAAATGACAAAAGGACATTGTGCTGAATTTGTAATTCAAGTCTGGCTGTCGACGCCCCCCAAAATGCAAAAGACGCAGACGTAGACGATGTTTGAGACGACTAGGACGACTGTGGCCACGGCCCTGACTGTGGCAAAGTGCGTCCTTTTAGTTGCCGTCGCTGTCAGCGTCCTAGTCCTCGTCTTCGTCTTCGTCTTCGCCTTAGTCGTAACTCGGCAAAATTCAACGCGCGTAAAATTTTGAGCACGCAGTCAAGCAGTCGTGTGTTCGTAGATATGTGTGTGCCGGTTTTTATGAGGGTGTGTGTGCCTTTATATAAATTACCCGAAACGCAGTAGAACTCTGGCAATGTTAGGTAAAGCAAAAATGTCCTAGCTCCTCCTGCTCCTTTTGATACCAATTTTGCTATGACGATTGCTTTATTTTCGCAGCGCGCAACTTTTTAATCATGGGTTGAACCAAAGAATTTTGTCTTTCTTGGCTTGGCATTTCTTTTGTCTTTTGGCACAGAATGCAAACAAACCGTTACGTGACCAACATTTTTTCTCTCTTATTTTCTTTTGCATTCCCCTGATTGTTTTGCTCGCTCTTTCTCGCTTTTAGTTGCTATCTGTTTGCCTTGTCTGATTTTGTATTAAGTTGGAAATTAGTCCTGATTTGTGACGGCCTGCAATATCCAGTTATGAATATGTATGCAAGGCAGCATTGGTTTTTATTATTTATGGTTTTACATAATTGAATGTTAAAACAATAATGAAATTATAGAAAAATGAAGAAAGCACGAAGCTCGCAATTTTTGCACATTTTATAGACAATATGTGTCCTGCAGCCTTTCTCTTAACCATAATGACTCTGCTTCTCATATGGTCGATGGTAAACTTTTAAGTTTTTACCGGTTTTAATATCGTGTACCCAAAGGGTCAAGGTTTATCATCTCTTATGTTAAGTTTTATCATGATAGCTTAAATCAGAAGGATGTTATAGTGTATGTAAGTGTAATAAGTGTAATCTCTGTAGCTGCTGTTGTTTATTCTGCATTGGATCAACTATGTACTGTACACAAACACGCGGAAAGATACGCATAGACACAGATAGGTATAACATTCAGGTAAATGCATTACTATATATTGAAACAGAATTTATTTTAAACTTTATTTTTAAAGTATAAAAAAATGTTAGCATTCCTTTCTTATTACTACTTGGTGCGATCCACCTTTATAATCTTTATAGTTGGCTTGGTTAAAATTAGTTACTAAAAAAATATTTGTTTTAGTAACAAAAAAAATTATATAATTCGCAGTAAAGTTATAAATGCTACAAAACTACACCTCAAAGCCTTGTGATTTCAAAATATCGGAAAAGATTCTTAAGAACAATACAACTTTTATCAGATATAAACAAAAAGAATATTGTACTTAGAAACGTCAATTTAGTCAAATTAATATTAGGCCTCGGTGTTTTTAAAATAATCGTACATTATTCCAATCTACTACGATATCGCCACTTTTATAACTATATAATAAGTATGGTGAAAGCTCATCCACCCATTACAACCTACCCGTATTTACTCAAATTAATTAGCGGAAATTTCTTTTCTGTTGCTGTTGCTGTTCAAGACACAAAGTAAATTGCAAAATGGTCCACGGACTCAGCATCGAGCCGCCCTCACACACCTGCCCAGCATTAATTACAAATCAGGCTGACTTTGACTTTGGCTTATTTGCTTTTGACAGCGCATCATGACTGAATTGAGTCCCAAGCAGTTGGACTGGCATCCGTATCAGTACCTTACGTATTATACATATAATGAATCGCTGATAAATTAAACAGATTTATTACACGGCGCCTCCTCTGACTCTGCCGGCTCCCACCCTAGGTTTCCCTTTGCTTGACAAAATGTTGCCAAATGGAAACCGACTTATAAGAAAAGTGCGCAGTTTTCCCCGCCGTACAACTCTGTAGCTACCCTGCCCTGCCACTGCCCCTGCCCCTGCCGCCACCAGCACACACCCACGACGTTGTTGTTCTGCTCGAGCGCGTGCTGCGTTTGCGGTTTAGACGATGTTGTGGTTACGGCGGAGTAGCGGTTGTTTGCGGCTGCCTGTGAGGCTGGAGGGGAAGTGGGCGCTAGAGATGGACTGAGAGCGTGGGTGAGGCTGTTCTTGACAAGAGCCTGCAGCTAAGCTTAGTGTGTTTGCCAAATTTTGAGTGGAGCCCGTATCGATTTGCAAAAGAGTCCTTTGAAATAAATCCTATGGCAAAATTTGAGCATCTTTTGGATCAATTAAAATACTTATAAAAGTCAAAGCACCTTCTTTAATGAGTGTAACTTTGAAGCTTATGCTGATTAAATTGGAAATTTAATTAGGCAAACGCAAAATCTTTTATGCTTTATGCTTTCAAAGTCGTTTGAGCTTGCTTCGTGATGCTTTAAAGTTTTGTCTATCACACGCGGTACCAAAATACACGTACATAAGGAGGAATATCAATTCAGAATCAAATTGCATATCCTTTTCTATCGTATCTTTACTTATGTATGACCGAAAAGCAAGCGCTTTTTATTGAAGGGCTTTTATTTTATAGATTTAACATTATTACTTCCACAATTATAATTTGCCGCAATACCTGGTGAATTAAGTATCTATTCTCCGGCCCCTTATTTTTATAACAAACAAGCAGAAGACTTACACATATACGTAAACAGTTAAAAGGTAAACTAGATTAGTTGGGAGGCAGACCCCAGATAGTATATAAGTATAATCAGGATAGTCCGTCTATCTAAAAGAATGCAAGGATCACAGAAATTTTTAACAGTAGATGTATCAAACTGGATTTCTAAGCTCTTTTAGGAACATATGTTAAGAACAAATTTACATGGAACGACTCGTCATGTTATGGTAATCATGAATATCGTAAATGTATACTTTACAGGCTGTGGAATGCCTTATTTTGTATAATCAGGATAGTCCGTCTATCTCAAAGAAAGCAAGGATCACAGAAATTTTTAACAGTAGGTGTATCAAACTGGATTTCTAAGTTCTTTTAGGAACATATGTTAAGAACAAATTTACATGGAACGACTCGTCATGTTATGGTAATCATGAATATCGTAAATGTATACTTTACAGGCTGTGGAATGCCTTATTTTGGTTATTTTACAAATTAAACAATTTCAGGATTCTGCGCAAGATATAATCAAATGTTAATAATAAATTATATTATGTATTACCATGAGCCGGACATAGGGTATATAGTAATTCTAGCATTCGCATCGTTTTTTCTTTAATATGTAAACTATCATATTG